GTATAAACAGATGATGAATAACAGTAAAATACAGTTTTATTAATATAAAATATATCTTAATACACGGTTCCTACAGTTTCAACTTAAGACTTTATAAGACTTTCTTAATGCCACTGAGAATGAAATTTAAGACTTATTTACAATTTGAAACAAAATAAATTAAATCAAAATAAAATAAAATAAAATAAAATAAATATTAACTGGCATCAGTTACCTTGGGTAAGGGACAGTTTGCCCAAATATTCTTTGTGATATAAAACATAACCTTTTTGTCATGTGACACAAACGAGGGTAGAAGAGAACTCAAGAGAACTTTAACTCATCCAGTGGGCAGTGGGAACTTGTACATGGAGGCTTGTGTATAAACACATAATGAATAATAGTAAAGTACAGTTTTAATAATAAAAAATATATCTTCATACATGGTTCCTACAGCTTAAGGCATGTTAGTTTTTAACACTTTCTTAATGCCACTAAAAATAAATATAGACAAATTTACAATGACAAAAAAATAAAATAAAATAAAATAAAATAAAATAAAATAGAATAAAATAAAATTAAATTAAATTAAACTGAATTAAATTAAATTAAAAATAAAAAAACTACAAACCGCTATCAATTACTTAGGGTTATGGACAGTTTTGCCCAAATATTTTTTGTGGCATCAAACATGAACTTTTCGTCATGTGACACAGACGAGGGTAGAACAGAACTGGAACATATCTGTCGTTTCTTGGCTGATTTGTGTCTCTCACATTACATGTAGGAATGCACTGTCTTTAGTCACATCATGTCAAGTTAAAAAACGTTTTGCATAAAATACACCTAGCTCTGTATGCATTGCCTTGCACCATAGACTCAGTGCCTTTTAAGACTTTTTAAGGACCTGCAGGAGCCCTGTTCATCTGAGAAGTTGTTGGCAAATGCTGTAAATTAATAAGCACTTAAAATGTCCTTATATATGCTTTAAACTAGGCCTACATGTTGTTAACCATTTACTGGATTCAGTCAGCCACGGTACAGTTTGAGTCATTCCATGACACCATCGCACACAGCTGCTGTGAAAAGATCCCCTGTATAGTGTACTCAGCTTATCTTCATACTACCGAAGCACCAGCTCTGAAACCTGTAGACATCCTTAAAATATTCTCACCGTCAGCTAAAACGAGTTTGAAGGTTGAGGTGTTGGAGATACAAGGTTTCCATGTGACAATAGTGTTACATAAAGTGGATTTTAGGCTCCGAAAATGATAAACACATGAGGAGAAAACACATATCTCCTTACAGAGAAAACCCTGTTAACACGTTAACAACATTATCACAGCGACTGAAGGACAAAACCAGGATCAGTGTGTGTGTGTGTGTGTGTATGTGTGAAGGGCACAGATGTTCGTTCTGCAGGCAAGATTTTAATTTATGAAAATGATCACGTTTATGCATGAGAGCCCCCCTCCTTACACACTGCTGTCCTACTGTGTGTGTGTGTGTGTGTGTGTGTGTGTGTGTGTGTGTGTGTGTGTAAGTCAACAGGGACAATATGGTGGCCATATCCCACCATTTAGCCTCCCCGTTGAAGTGGAATAATAATGAGAGAAAGTCCGACTGCAGCATAAAGATTCATCTTGTTCAAATGGAGCAAAACTATTTCATTAACACCGACCAGAAATAACAAAAACTATTTAATAACAATGCAAAGAAAAGTTGCTTTAAATGTCATGAAAAAACACTGTACAGATAAATATAACTATCTGGAAAAATTCAAATGAAAACTGTTTGAAAAAGCTTTTTAAAATTAAAATAAACGTCACATGGACCTTTGTAATCACACTCAGGACACAGCTACTGTAGCAGCAGTCGCAGTATTAACGGTATTAATAGTAGCATTAGCAGTCGTCTTTGTGATAGAGGGTTTGTGTTTCAGTCTGTTGGCTGATCATAACACTGATTAATGCAGCTTAAACTAAGCCATCTGTCATCAACACACACACACACACACACACACACACACACACACACACACAGACACACACACTCATAATATGGTGTTTATACCGCAGCCAGGGAGCATTCTTCACTCTGATTGGTTGGCAGGTGTCTGTGAAAATCATATAGGAGGACACCTTCAACAATCAGTGCTCAAGGTACATTAAAACTGCAGGTAACCATAGCAACAGTGCTGCTGCCACTAGGCTTTCATTACTGCAAAGTTAAATGAGAGCTGAAACTAACCTACCCTTGGGGTAAACTGACAAAAAACACACTATAAATCATGAAGGTGGATCTAAACACAGTGGACAAGACAGAGGAGACAGTTGAGGACTCAACTCCACTGACTGGTTTATGAAATTGCAACCCAGTCTCATTCCGAAGTCGTCGAAACCCTGCACTTGGGCAGTGACTTTCAGCATCAGACACTGATGGAAGAAGCTGTCCTTTAACGTCGGCATGATACGTGGTTGGTCGTTCACATTCTCAGGTCATTGAATACCAACAATCTGTCTGATACTGGCGCACAAGGCATCTTGTTGCATCTGTATAAGACTCACAGTTGTCTCGTGGGTGAAACACGTTATAAAACCTTAATACCCCTGGGAAACAGCTGCTGTTAGGTTTAGGCAAGACAACTACTTAGTAAGATTCAGAAAAAAGATCACGGTTTGGGTAAAAATAAATATGTTTGTTACAGTTAGACATAACCTGATGTAAATATGTGAAGAAACATGAAGTAATTACCTGACGTACTTACATAACTTACGTAAAGGTATGCTAAAAAAGTCAGTGTTGACTTTTGATTTCACTCAGGACACAATGAGTGGGTAAAAGTCCTGTGTTTGTTTGACCCGTCCACCACCCTGAACTCGTCCCTATGCAGACTTTCTCACCTTTTATCAGTGCCCGACTGATATGAGACTTTTGAAACCAATACAGATACCAATTTTTCTGCGAATATTACATGTGCTGGTGCCACAGCACTGAGATAATTGTAAACAATAGAGCTGGAGCACGCTCTACTAGACAAACTACGCAATTACACCATAATTAAATCACTATAAGCTTTGTTTTCTGCAATATATGTTTTGTAAAAATGTTTTATGTCGGTGCGTATCGGAAAACAGATACGCAACTCTCTGCAGCTTGTGCAGAATGCTACAGCGAGACTCCTCACTGGTGCCAGAAAAAGAGACAGCATTACACCAGGACTAGCATCCCTACACTGGCTACCTATTGAATACAGGATTGATATCAAGGTTCTTTTATTCGTTTTTAAAGCCACACATGTGCTGGCACCTCAGTACATTGCTGAACTTCTCTACCCCTACTCCAACTCTCGACCTTTTGGATCTTCAGAACAATGTCTTTTAACTGTCCCACGATCGAGGCCGGTGGGTAAGAGAGATCATGCCTTTGTGGTAGCTTCTCCAAAACTTTGGAAAAGCCTCCTCCTCTCAATCAAATCCTCCCCCTTCATTGACACTTTTAAGACAAATCTTTAAAAACATACATGTTTTCAATGGCCTTTGGTTTTAATATTTTAATATTTCATAATATTTTTATCTATGTAATTGTTCTTACCAGTGTTAGTCTGTTTTATATTTGTAGGCCTAAACATGTTCTGTTATATATTCCAGTGTCATTCTTTTATCTTGTACAGCACTTTGGTCAACTGCGGTTGTTTTTAAATGTGCTATATTAATAGACTTGCTTTGATTTCATTTATCTGTGACAGGCCCATATCAGCTGATAATATCGGCAGACTGATAAACTGTCATAGTAGTCAGTGCTCTAAGTGTCTAATATTGCTGCGCTTGAGTTTACATTGGAGTTAGTCTCATAAAGATGCTAAAGGGAGCCTTGCGCATCAGTATCAGACTCTGAGGGGCATGAAAAGAGTTGGCATTTGACAACCTGGAATTGAAAAAAGGCTGTATTACATTATAACATAATTACAGTAAATAATCTGAAGGAAAGTCCCACCGTGACAAGAGTTTAAATACATTAGTTGTAGTGTGTAGACTTTATAGTATAGGGTAAACAGGGGTTTGGGTGAGCTGTTTCCCCCTGTTTCAGCTAAGCTAATCACCCCCTGACTCTACTTCCATATTTAGCCCCATCTAAGAAACTGAAAAGTTTAGTTTGGGGCAACAGTAGCTCAGTCCATAGAGACCTGGGTTGGGAACCGGAGGGTCACTAGCTCAAGTCCAAATATGGAGCATGGACTGGTGCCAATTTGCCTCCTGGGCACTGCCGAGGCGCCCTTGAGCACCAAACCCCCAACAGTCCATGGCAGCCCCCTCACTCTGACATCCCTCCATTTAATGTATGTACAGGCTCTGTTTATGCGTGTGTGTATTTCGGGCCTGTGTGTATAAGACAAGGGAAAAAACTGAATTTCCCCTCTGGGGTTTAATAAAATATATCTCCTCCAACTTTAAGTATGAAAATAAAAGTACTTTTTTTGCCAAACAGCCCATTTTATAATGTCATTTATGTCTTTGTTATAGGATTATTATTACCATGCATTAATGTGTAAGCAGCATTTTGCAGTAGTTTGATGAAGTGGGGCTGAGTTAGACTGTCTGTCCTGCAAAAACCTTGATAAAATGAAGACCTTTCTGTCCCTAATGGAGTCATAAAAACTTTATTTTGCAGTGCATTGAGAATATTTCAGCCTCTTGAAGATGAGCATTGAGAACTGTAATATTCTGAAAGCACTGGACGATTTTTTCATTGAATAAAGAAGAAAATAGAAACTAAAACCTAGTAGCATGGAATTAAAATACTCTAATAAAGTTCAAGTACCTCAAAACTAAACGTAGTTACACCCCAGAGCTGCAATCATCGAGACATAATCAATCAGACGTCGTTAATCGATCATAAACTGATGGACAGTTTACTCTCTGTGTGCGCGCTCCCGCTTGGTTGAAGGATACACGCGGGAGCGCGCACGCCTGTTGATGAGACACCGGTGGCTCTGCCGCGTGCCCGAGCTGTGAGTCCACCTGCAAAGCTGCTGCCCGTCTCCATAGCGACGACACTCCGGAAATACAACATAAACCCGCCAGCGGTGATTAGCTTACTAGCTTGTTTATCTGCCGCGTTGTTTATCAAAGAAAAACAAACTCATACGTTTGTTTGTTTGTTTGTTTGTTCGTCGGTTGAGTCGGTAAACATGTCGGAGCCCGAGGAGGAGGTCCAAGGAGAGCAGAGAGACAGCATTAAGAAGAAGAAGAAGAAGAAGAAAGAGAAACGAAGCGCAAAGAAGAAGAAGGAGAAGCGGGAGGAAGAGGAGCAACAGGTGGAGGAGGAGAAGGAGGAGGAGGAAGAGGAGCAGAGGTGAGTGTTTGTTCTGAGGGTTCCTTCAGTGTCAGGTTCCACACAGAACCACGGAGCTCTCTGATTGGTTCATAGACGACAGAACAGAAGATCCTTAAACTTCAGTTAAAGTTTTAACTGTCACGAAACCCTTTCAAAATAAAAGCCCTGCTTTGAAGTTAAGTTAATATTGATCAAACGTTCAAGTAAAATAGGTTAGATAAAAGTCAAATCAAATAATTGATACTGTATTTTAGAGTATTAATTAACTATTAGCTATGAAAATACCCCAAATTCATTTCACCCAGGCTCAGGCAGACTAGACCATTACATAGCTATGGGTACTTTGCAAAACGTCAAGGCCACGCCCCTTTTTGGGGATTGACAATAGGTGTGGGCAATGACACAAAATTTGGATACCATCTGATTCCAAGTATTACAAGGCCAAAATCATAGATATCGAGACAGATATGATACTTTTAATTAATATTCATTCATTTTATTTTCTGTAATCGCTTTTCCTGTTAGGGGTCATGGGCGTGCTGGAGCCTATCCCACCTGACACTGGGCAAGGGGGGGGGTACACCCTGGACAGGTCACCAGACTATCACAGGGCTGACACATAGAGACAGACAACCATTCACACTCACATTCACACCTACAGACAATTTAGAGTCACCAGTTAACCTGCATGTCTTTAGACTGTGGGAGGAAGCTGGAGTACCTGGAGAAAACCCACGCTGACACAGGGAGAACATGCAAACTCGGCACAGAAGGGCTACCTCATCCTAGAACCCTGTTGCTGTGAGGCAACAATGCTAACCACTGCACCACCGTGCCGCCATTTTCCATCCAATCCATCACTGCTATTATGTGTTGGATTAAAGTTGTCAGGCTTGTACATACTCTCTGCATTGAACGTCCATGAACAGCTATGGTAACAAGGACGTCAGCCCCCAGCTGTAACAGGTGGGCTGGTAGGTGAGCTTACCGTCCTCCTGCTGCTGACATTGGGTGAAAGTAAAACTAAGAAGACACTGCTGGGTCTGGGGTAAGGTATCTGAGTGCTGTGTGAGCTCATGACAACGAAACATTGTTTGCAGTTTTACCTTGAAAAATACAAACAGGTATGATGTAGAAGAGAGAAATGAATCCCTTTTTTGGTATTGATCCTATTAATGCTAGGATTGATCCTCAAAATAAAAATGCAGTATTGAGACTATAAATATTTTGGTATCAATCGGCCCACACCCAATAGACAACCAGTGATCCTAGTGAACCCTCAAAAAGGGGGGTGCAGCCTTGGCGATGACACTATCTCAGTCTGGTCTATCAAGTCTCTAACTCCTCAACAGCACCTCCAGAGATCAGTAGTGTCATCAATATGACCTAATGGTTGATTCATCAGTCAGTATTGATAAATATTTAGAATTCTGATGTGTTGAAACAAACTGTGTGTTTTGTGTCAGTGAGCGTGTGGTGCTGCATGGGATCTTCAAACTGGGGAAGAAGAGCCACGATGTCCTGCTCACCCGAACCAGACTGACATGGACGCCCATCACCCCGGAGACCCCCACAGGTTAGTTACCAAAGAGACGGGTTGTCATGGTGATGAGTCGTCAGACAAAAAAGTCAGGCGGTGTGAACGTGGAGGCAGCTGGTGCTGTAATGGAGAAGTTCTGTCACGTTGAGACCACCTGAAACATGACATCTGGACACTCACACACACGCACGTACACACAAATTTAATTAAGTTATGAGGATGTTTGTGTTAGATCTTTCTCTCCATGACAGCTACACCACTTTCTGCACACAGTTCTACACTGCAATGTGTCACATTTTACAGTACAACACTACACCCATCATGTTGACTCCGTTCAAGTAAAAAGTCGTGGTCCTGATTGGTTCACACAGCCTAGCATACATTTGTCAAAGTGGGGAACACAGGCTCAATGGAGCCAGAGCTTCTGCCAACATAATGTCTACAGCCTACAAAAAAAATGATTTTTGGAATCCGTGAATCCGAATCATTAAATAGAGGAACTGCGATTGCAATGTGACCCCCTTCTACCTGGACTGGCTGCAGGTACAGGCCTCTGGGCAGGACTACCACCCATCTGTCATACAGTATCTCAGCCATGGTGGTGTCCTGCAGCTCTGACCACAGCAGAAGCTGGCAGAAAGAGTCCTCCTCCTGTGATTACAGGAAATAGCAGAATCAAGAATCGGCTCATTCTAAGGGTGCTTTCAGACCTAGAGTTGTCTCCGTTGGTCTGAATCAGGGACTAATTTTGGTACAAAGCTGCATAATTGCCTAGAGTTGGTTCGTGTTCTCACAGCAGCATTTACAAGCGGACCAGATCAAATGCCTTGTGTGAGAAAGCTGCTCTTGATTGGTCAGAATTTCCATGTGGGAAAAATCCAGGAAGTAAAGCAAACGAAGAAGAGTACACTTGCAAGATAAATGTGACACTTTCTAATGTCACAATGGAGGGACAACTACGCAGGTTGATTTTAGCGCTGCTCATCGTGGACTATATTGCTGTCATTGTTCATTTTAGTCAAAGCATACAGTTTGAAAACAAGACGCGGCTCCAACTAGAAAACAATGTTTTGATGCATTGGATGTGCTGAATGTGCATATTAAGGCAATACAGGAGGAGGTGCACATTAATAATCCTCCAGGACTGTAACATGCTCATGTTTATCTCAAACAATGTGTCATGTGACTGCAGTTGGTTCAGATTGAGGTTGGAACACATTCTCACCACAAACGAACCGCACCAGAGTTCATTTTTAACCGGACTGAGACCACCTCTTCAAGAAGGTCTTGGTCCGGTTGTTTTGGTGCGCACCTGAGTGTGATTGCTGTGTTCACACCTGTTCAAACGAACCGCACTGAGGGGGCAAATGAACTTGAGTTCAATTGGACCGAACCAAACAGGGCAGGTGTGAAAGCAACCTTAGGTAACAAAAACACCACATTTCTTATTTTCAGGTGATTATACACTGAAATAAACATAGTTATGAATATTATATTAAATTTCTGCTGATATATCCTCCTGAATGCACACTGGACCTTTAAGGAACTAAAAAATAGTGTCACTGGTCCTTTAAAGGTTGACGCAGTCACAATGTCCTTTGTTGTGTGTTTGTGTTTAGTTGAAATCCATTCAGACAGAACTGGTTAGTGGAGCACGATGAAGGTGTAAATACAGTGTGTGTGTGTGTGTGTGTGTGTGTGGTGGAAGCCAATCTGTTTTGCTGTATTTCATCCAAGCTAATGTCATTAAGCCAGCACTCCGTGTGTGTGTGTGTGTGTATGTGTGTGTGTGTGTGTGTTGGCAGTAGTATAGAGCAGTTGGTTCGGCCCGTGGGGGGTTATTAGAGTCTCTCAGTGTGAGGAGATTAACACACACTCATACACACACACACACACACACACACACACACACACACACACAGTCGGCCTGTCAGCATGCTGTGTGTGTGTGTGTGTGTGTGTGTGTGTGTGTGTGTGTGTGTGTGTGTTGATTAGATATTTCTATATAAATGGATCAGCTGTTGTTGTTTATTTGTACACATGAATTCATCCCGTCTCACCCAGCAGCCTGTCTTTCTGTCTGTCAGGGAGACCTGAGCTGTCAAACAGACAGACAGACAGACAGACAGACACAGGTACCCACAGTGGTATGAAAGTATTTTATGTGACACCCAGCCCAATTTGCAGTTTGTATAGAAGAAATCAAAGTACTTCACTGTTTTGTACTAACATGAACCCATACTGTAGGTTATACATGCAGATAGATTTATATACAGTTTTGAAGTGGGAGGAGAAATGTTGGGCCTTGGTTTATGAAGAAAAGATCCCATTCATTGTCTCTATAGACAATGTTAAGTGACTCACAGTTGGAGCACCTCATGGCTTGGATCGGCATGAAACTCTTGTGGTTAAATCATCAGTGCAAAAGAGTGAAATAAATTGTTTTTTGACTAAAAAGTTCAGGGAGGAAGTTCACTACAACTCCCAAGATACCTTTTGGTCAGAGACATAAAAGTAACTTAGTAATTTTATAACCTGGACCCTATTTTCCCATGTTTTTGTGTCTAATGTTTAACTGAGACGACAGGTTTCTGAAATCGGTCCAGTATTGAGCGAGACCGCTGCAGCCGGCAACAATGAAACAGGCTGCAATGTAATTTTAATTAAGTAATTCAAACAAACAGTTATTTATCATCATTGAACACACTTCATTTAAAGTGGAGAAAAACAAAAAACTTAAATGGAAAACTCTGGCTGTGTCTGAAATCACACTACTTACTTTATAGTCCACTATATAGTGAGTTCACCATTTTGTAGTGCGGTCTGAATGTATAGTGGGAATTATTATACCTTATATAGTGGACTCAAAGTATCCCACAGTGCACCGAGAAAAGTAGCGCACAACCGATGGTCACTCATTGAGCAATATATGCCATCATGCATTGTGCCAAAGGAACAGATGGACTATATGGGACGGACACTGACATGGACGAGAGAAGACAGAGCAACTAAAGTTTGTTTTACCAGTTTTTCTGTACCATGTAATAAACTGTCAATTTAATGTGTAGTTGTTGGTCCCTGAAGAAATAAAAATAAATTGTCAACTGATCTTCTCTAGCACTTAACAGTTACTGTGCAGAGTAGGGCTGAACATGCTAGCTAGTGTTAGCAAGCTAGGTCGCTACTCGTTCTCATTGGCACCATAATGTCATAATGAATAACGTCATACATTAAATTCACACGTTATTACATTACTGACTGGTAAAATAAACTTCACCACCACAAAGGTTAAACAGAAAACCACTTACATTAGTAGGACAGGTTGCAATCGTGCCGCTCTCTCCTCTTATAATGTTATTAATAGGCCTATGTTTAATGTGAGCAGAGTAGCGCATCTCATAACACAACACAAAAGGCCACAAAGTACTCTGTAACGTTATTTATTAATTTGGGAAAATGCACTCAGTATCATTTCATTGTATTTATCACAAATATACATGTCAGTATTTGTTATGGATGGTTCACCAGCCAATGTTCATTTGACATGTTGTAATTTTGCAACAGCAATGACGTTAATCAACGGTGCGGAGAAAATGACCAGCGTAGAGTTGGAAAGTGTTTTTCCATGTTACAGATAAGCTCATGATTAAGTCCGCTATATAGAAGTCCCTATATAGTGAGCAGGGAGCAGTGAATGAGTGAATGATTTTCTCTGATTTTTTTTTTCTGGGTTGAAAACTGAAAATTCCCACAGGCAGTGAAGTATCTCTGGAGAAGTGTGAAGAAACGATAATGATCCATTTACAATCAGTTTACAGTATCAGAGCAGTTTACATGATCAATGTCATTGGTGACACTGAAGGAGTGATGCAGCCTTAGTGTGTGTGTGTGTGTGTGTGTGTGTGTAAACTATGATCCATAACTCCCCACGGTGAGCCACATGGCCTGGTCACCATGAGACTGAACTGCCACTGTGTGTGTGTGTGTGTATGTGTGTGTGTGTGTGTGTGTGTGTGTGTGTGTGTTGTGGGGACATCTCTACATGATTAACCAAGAATTTTCGGGATTTAATTTTGTTTTTAGCGTTACGTTTTTTAAAGTCAGGAGAAGGTGAAGCCTTTAGGGAGTGAATGTGAGTTGGTCCTCACAATTATAATAACACCAGCCTAACATATACATTATATATTTATTTGTGTGTGTGTGTGTGTGTGTGTGTGTGAGTGTTGGCACAGTGGGTTGGTGAGGGCATGATGGGAAACTCATCTCCATCTGGATCCAACCAACATGCTACCTGTGATGAGCAATACACTGAGTGGGTGTGTGTGGGTGTGTGTGTGTGCAGCGTCTCTGTAGGTTCTGTCAGTTCAGATTAGTGTTGTCTATATTGGGGTGGATAGAAAATCTGTCTGTCTTTCTCTTAATTTCATTTTCATTCAGTTGCTTCCTCTATTACTTAAAAATGTGACGTACATGTGAAGAAAGAAAACCATGGATAAAAATTAGAGACGTGGGCGCAGAGGGCTGAATTTAATGGATCTGTAACAGCTAAAATAAAGCAGATCAAAATCCATTTTTTCTTTACTGAACTCTACTGTGTTTTATTCACCTCACCCTGCTAACGTTGCAGTGCTGCTCTCCTTAATGAGAGCCTGGTGCTACAGTGAAGCATTTCACTGCATATGAAAATGAAAATTGGAGTGTGTGAATGTGAAGAATTACTTTGACGTACTTGTGAGTAACTCTGTGTTTTGAGTTATTATTTGCTAATTATTGTTAGTAAAGAGCAGTGTTCTAAACATTCAGGTTGCAGCACTGACTATCCAAGGTCCTAATATTAATATTGTTTGCTGTCTGGCTGAAGTGTCTCTGTACTCAACCAAAGATCTTTTGTCAGGGGGACGCTCCACTCTGTAACACGCTGTACAATCAGAGTGAACGAGTGTTTCTGTTCCTCCAACAGCTTCAACACAGTGATACATCCTCTCTCTAGGGGATTGTGTCATGTTAGTTTCTGGAGTCACATTCTCCCTCATTCATATCACATCAGTTGTTTAACTAACTAGTACAGTGCCTGTTCAAAACGTGCCTGTTCGGAAAGGGCCGATTGCTTGGCGAGGCAGCTGTATTTGTATAGCACATTTCATACACAATGGCGATTTGAAGTGCTTTACAGAGCAATAAAATATAAAACAAAAAAGATACAGAAAAAAGTAAAGAGAGAAAAAAAGATCTAAAAGGTCAAATTGATTAGTAAATGATATACAATAAAAAAAGTAACCAAGAGGTGCAAAGATTAAACAATTATTTAAAATGATTTCAAATTCAGTTTAAAGATAGGTTTGCAGTCATTAAATAGGGAATGTTTTTAGCTTTGACTTTAAAATGTTCAGAGTCGGGGCTGTCTAACATCATCTGGGAGGTTACTCCAGGTTTGTGCTGCATGACAACAAAACGCTGCTTCACCATGTTTTGTTCTGGCTCTTGGGACTCTGTCGGCCGGCCCCTGATGTCCTCAGGGTCCTAGAAGGTTCATATGTCACAAGTTCATATGTCAGAGATAGATTTGGGCGCTGAGCCACAGAGTGATTTATACACAAGCAGCAAGATTTTGAAATCAACTCTCTGAGTGACAGGTGATCAGTGTGAGGATTTTAGAGCTGGAGTAATGTGGTCATATTTCAGAGACACTTTTTGAGGCCACAAATGCAACTGCAAATGATAATGTGTGTGTGACATGTTCACTATATCAACTAGATTCTGTTTATATGAAATAACATTTATTATTTAGCATATTAAATAAACCCACTGAGCAGAGACTGAAGCAACAGCGGACAGACACACAGTGACCCTGGCATATGGACGCTGGCCTCTGCGGGTGGAAGAGGGGCGGGTGGTTTTGCGTTTTTGGTATTTGATAGCAGGAGGGGAGCCTATTTCACAGAGAGGAGGGAGTTAATCAGCTATCATCATATATAACTATTAACTGATGGGTCTGTCCCCTCTGAGTCCTTCACAGCTGTTTACTTTATATTTTATACTGTGGGAGGTGCTGGATTGTTTGTTTTACTGCTGATATTATTTATTGTTATTGTTTATCATGTGTTGACGGAGCAGCAGCTTAACCTCTGGCTTTTGTCATTTAATTTCCTCTGAATAGAGACACTGAGGAATCCGTGTATCCGTCCTCTACCTTTAGAGCAACTTGTTTAAATGTGACATCTTTAGCATACTGGCATGGCCCATAATTGCGGCAAAATCCAAAAAAAAAAAAAAGTTTTTGAACAATAGATTAAACGGTGCTCCATTGTGCTTCATTAAATGGTCAGACAAATTCAAAAAAATTAAAAAGTATTGGTAACAGCCACGCTTAAATCTGGGTGGATAAATATATTTCCTTTAATCTGGATGGATTTAAATATATTTCTGATGATTAAAGTGGATTAATATCTCATTAAGGAGTTTGTTTTTACATGTACAGATGTTTGTCCACCTGCTATGACATGAGTCTGAAGCTGATTTGATTTTCAAAATAAAAGCCTTTTTTTATGTCAAGTACACAAGCAGCCAACAGTTATTTTCATTATCAAGTAATCTGGTTGATTATTCTTTTTCATTGCATTGCTTTATTGATAAAATATCAGAAAAAAAGTGAAAACCGTCAATCTTAACTTCCCAAGTTGTTGTCTTTATATCTTATTTTGTATCTAATTTATTCAGTTTATAATGATATAAAACAAATAAAACAGAAAGGTGCAAATTCTCATATTTTAGAAGCTGGAAGCAGCAAACATTTTGAATTTTGCTTTATAATTGACTTCACTATTATTTGATTAAAGAGAGTCGAGGTGACATCAGAACGTCTGAGGTCTGTTCCATAAGTAAGAAAACCCAATTTTAACTACACCAAAAACTAAAGCTGAGTTCAGACCAATGATTTGCGACGAGACAAAACCATTTTAGAACGTTGCCTGGAAAAGTTGCAGCTCAACTCATGGCGATGATGGCGTCACCTTCAACTCAGCTGGTCAAATCGCCGATGGCTTAAAGTCAACCTACTTTAGATGAAACTGGATATGTTTCCATGGAAACCTCACATCCTGTAGTCCAGCAGTGCGTCTAAATTTTGCTTTCACTTGCCTCTACAGCAGCTGCTCCTCTAATCCAACAATCTGATCAGTTCTGATTGATCTGACCACAAACTGTAACGGATCACTTCTCCACCCTACTCAAGAAGAGTGCTGTGCTGCGTTCACGGACCTGCAGAAACTATTGAATTTAGAGAATGGCCACAGAATAATCACAAAGAGACAAACACACACAGATTGATGATGATGATTTTTTGGTTGTAGTACCGCCATCAGCCACAGGGACAAACTATCAACAGGCAGACTCTTGGACTGTATCATAGATAACGTGTGTGTGCATGTGTGTGTGCCTGTTATGTAACTCTGCATGTACTGTCTGAGCTCTGCTGACATCATCCTCAGAGGATTGAATGATTAATCTCATATCAACCAGTCAGGTTTCAGTATCCTCCCTGATTACACTGATTGATTAACAGGTGCTTCTGCACTGTACATTCTGCTGATCAATGGATTAGTGATTAATACAGGTAATGACATTATGTAATATGAGCACAGGTGAACTAGTGGCCCTGTGTATTCATATTTCTCTGACTGACAAGAGGGGGGTGGACAAAATAATGTGAACACCTCCTGTTTGCAGCCTCAGTATTAGTAATGTTATTCACAAAATTAATTATTATTATTACAAATAATATGGTTGTTCACAGACATAAAAAAGTATGCACTGTCACTAACAGTGAGCAGTTATCTTGAAATATTATCAGCATTATTAATAAAGTCAGGTGCGTGTTGTGTTCAGGTGCTGTGTGTTGACTCTACCTATCTCCATGCAGGTGAGGCATGCGTGCCGGAGCCAGGTGTGATGCTGCTGCAGGACGTGTTTGCAGTGAAGGTGAAGCGGCGGCGAGCAGCGGGCCAGCAGTCGGGGGGACCTGTGCTCGGCATAGCTCTGTTCTGCTGCAGGAGGAAAGGGAGGAGGCTGGAGGAGGAGACGCTGCACCTCCACAATGCTTCTGCAGAGCACACACACACCTGGTACAACACCCTGAAGGAGCTGCTCACAGGTAACACGCTCAGATGGTCATGCTGTATGAAGAGAGAGAGAGACAAAATATATTCAAGTGTGAGTTTTACACATTTCCGAGGTTGTTCATTTACAACAGGTGAGAGTCATCATTTTTCATTGACTGATCCTAATTTGGATGAAACCACTTTTTTAGCCCTACAGCAGTTTAGCAGAACATTAATTCACCACAAAATGTGATAGAGGGAGGATTTCCAAATGTTTGATTTCTGTCTCCTCCTGTCAAAAAATGTTGTGAAGTTGCTTTGGACAAAAGCTTTTTACAAATGTATGTAACAAATGCTACGTTTGGATGCTTTTAGGACCATAAACCAAGTAAAATGGCCAACTTGTGGGGGGTGGGGGTCGATGAACTGACCCTTGAACCACAGATATCTAACTTCAGGCCCAGTTCGGAGCCTCCTTAGCCTCACATGGAGTCTATGTTAATGTGATGGGCTCATTAAGAAAAACAAATCCAGGCTGATGGTATGACTGACTGAAGCTGTTGTGTGTGTTACATAAGAGCTGAGATACGCTGGAAACATGACTCAGAACATCTATGAGAGTGATACTCTAAGACGATTACACACACTGCTGAGTAATACTATTATTATTAGCGCTACCTGTCATTGTATTCATTCACCTGTCCATCGGATGAATGGACATATTAAAGCAGCGGTCAACTGGTCCAGTCACGAGGCTTCCTTAGTCATTAGTTCAAGGTCCACACAGTTTAATATATTCAGCGTCATACTTGCATTTGCCCATGTCCTGGAGCTACTTTGTTGTCTCCGTCATGTAGCTGTCCATTCATTCATTAATTTATTCATTCATTCATTCATTCCTCAGTGGTGAATTCTGCTGACTTTGGTGATCCACTGACTTTTCCCTCTAGCGCCACCGTGAGGTTGATATTTTGGGTGTTAAGTCAAATGTCTCAACAACCACTGGATGGACTGCCAAGGAATTTGGTACAGTAATAACCTTGGTTATCCCTTAACATTTCCTCCAATCTGACATTTTCAATAATACTGTAATAGTACTCCATTGTTTAGTGCAAGTCATAAACATCCAACAGCTCTGGTTAGCAGTTGGCCAACTAATCAGTCTGAACCAGTTTTTATATTTTACTTCCATGGGCAGTATTAGAAAAGGTTTCTCCTATGTGTAGCCCTTAAGCCGGCCACACATGACCAGTAGTAAAACTCCTTTGTGCTGGTTGTGCAATTGTTTTCCTACGAGGAGAGCATTGGCGCCCAATGAGGTGGAAGTGCGTCACACCAAGCACTGCAGTCAGAGTTCAAATTATTTCAACTTTGTTTGACGCTGAGCTTTCAAAGCTCAAACTATGAGATAACCGCTGTATGTGACATAGGCAGAAGCAAGTAGCGACCATAGAAGAAGACAGTAGCGCCACATTTAAGCAGGGGTGGTAGAAACTGATGAAAGACAAACTCATCTTCTTCCCCAAATTCTATAACACAACATTAAAAACATATCACGACCTCGCCAGGAAGAGTAAAGCATGGTGAAATGTCACCAGTCAGAGGCTACTAGAGTTGTGACTTGGCATATAGTTTGCAAACGTAGCTAAATCCAGTGTTAAAGTCAGCTGAGGTGTTTATGTACATTAGGTATGACACTGTGATTAGGGCTATGCTTTGTATCATTAGTATCTTTTCTAACTTACAATTCCATCTATCCATTCATTTTCAACTGCTTATCCAAAGTTGGGTCATCTGGGATGTTAGAGCTCCTCACCCTATCTCTAAGGCTGAGCCCAGCCACTTTTCTGAGGAAACTCATTTCAGCCGCTTGTATCCGCGACTTCATTCTTTTAGTTATTACCCAGAGCTCATGACCATAGGTGAGGGTTGAGACGTAGATGGACCAGTAAATCGAAAGCTTAACAGACGAAACAAAATGGTCTTCTTTTTCTTCTTCTTTGAAGTTTTAACCCAAACTAAACGGTCTGCAACAGTTGTTATTGACTATATAACGTCTACCTGCAAGTGTCTGCTCTATGTTTTGAGCCCTGCCACACAGTGAGTGAGGAGCAAGTTTCTTATCATGCGAAGATGAGCACACAAGGTAAACATGCCACGTCCGAGATTTAGCTAGCTGCTGTGCTAGCTCTGAGATTATAATTTCATTGTTATCAATTAGCCTGTTCATCACTCAGTTTAATGAGGTGAGTCACAGTTACATCAGACAGTAGAGCTAATCTGCTAATCCACCGGAACAAAGAGACACAGATTACACACACACACACACACACACACACACACACACAAATTCAGCAGTACTCAGTAGCGTGCTGTCAGCAATTGAATCAAGTTGTCTGCAGGAGAGATTAGCTACACGACCGTCTACACAAACATGAGTGTCCAGTTCACTTTAGGTTACGATGAAAGCCTCTAGAAACTGGAAACTTTAACTAAGAAGGCCGAATGTATGCAGACTTCCAAACATTACACCTGTATATGAAACCACGGGCATGAATCTGCTGCTATAACAGCCTCCGTGCTTCTGGTTTGAGACTTCATCACTAGCAGGGATTTACTTCCATTCAGCCACAAGAGCATTAGTGAGGGCCAGCATTGTTTGTGCATGGTAAGGTCTGGCTCTCAGTCGGTGACCACAAACATGAGATTGATCTCAAACTTTGCATATCAGTATGAGATAACTAAATAAATGTATTGCACAACATGTTATTTCAAGTCATGATAAAGGTTTAGTGTTTTGTTTCACTCCTAATGCTCGACTGATCTTTTTTATAGCTGAAGCAAATGCTGTTTTCAGCAAGACAAGCTTTGATAAACCCTAGGAATGGGTACCAAACTCTTTACTTTTAAGGGTGCTGACCAAATTACGTTGGTGCTACCCAGTAGTGATCCTCATTCAATCCATCTTTGCCAAATTGTGGTACCTGAGAGTGCATCTGGGTGATGCCAAGATGGAAGCCAGTCACAGAGCTCTGCGGAGCCACCAGGGTCAACTTCAGACAGGAGGAAGAAGTGAGCTAAAGCCAGGAGGCCGGCAAAGAAGTTCTGTTGGCCGCTCTGCTGGCTTCTCAGTGAGCCAAAACTATCGCCGTAGTGCCCATCTGTCGCAATAGTTTTGATGTCTGTTTGGTCTGTTTTCTTTTCTTTATTTTTTTTAGTAGTAGCCTCATATTAGTGCTAGACGAGCAGGCACACATACACACACACAAGTGGACAGACAGAGACAAAAGATTAGCTCTATATGTGATTAGAAAAGAGCAGAGGGGCACAATAGCTTTTTAGTCTACTACGTAAATAGTTATATGAGTAGGTGTCAATAGGACACTTCTTGATAACATGTTCACCACCAACAACTTTATACAGTGAGATTAGGTCAATGTTGTGCAGGTTAAAAGGTGGTAGCTAACTAAGCTTTATAAAAATCTCCCTCAGTTTCGTCTGCCATCAAATCTTTGTGCAGATTTCATGTTTTACTTGTTTCCCTATAACAACTACAGTGAATTCAGGCAACTTGTACCGACCAGCACTCGTTTAAATAAAGTTCTGGATGTTGCTTCACCCTGAGGTTCCCAGACGCCTGTTTCCCAGGTGCACTGTAGTGGGCGGTGCCTGGCTGACACTTAACACACAATAGAAATGTTAGAGCGCTGGGTGTGTATGGATTTAACTCGCACAAAACACACTTTACATTTCAGGTTTTCTGTGTCGACTGCAACAGAGACGTTACAAGCTCCTCCATAAATGAGGAGGTCAAAGGTCACGCACACACTACCATCTTCATGTCACCATGGCATCGGTCTGACATGTTATCGCTGGTCACCTGTCTGTCTGTCCGTCTGTCTGTCCGTCAAACCAGATTACCCATGAGGCCCTGCAGCAAAGTCATAACTTCTTTAAGTGTTTGTCTTCTTGCACACACATGAATGGCTCGCAGGTCGTGTGTCAGCTCGTGTGGTCACACTACACATCAAACTGTGATGGCTTTTGTGACTTTACACACCGAGGCGGAGGAGTCTGTGTGTGTGTGTGTGTGTGTGTGTGTGTGTGTGCAAGGTAAACAGTCAGCCACTCGGCTGCTGTGCGGACATTAAGCCTATTTTCCAGCCAGAGGTCAGCGTGAAAAGCACATTGTTGTTTGAATCGTGGCGTCGCAGAGCGGGCAGTCCCGCCGCTGCCGACACCACCGCCACTTCTTAACCTTCAGGTCCGAACATTCAGCTGCACAAAGGCAAGCAGGGAGCAGACACTTTCAGTTTCCAGTCTGTTTTTTTGCTGCGTGAAGCAGCTGCAGAACGCTGTGCGGAGAGTGAATGGCAGTCAGTGACAAAAGGCGAGCGGTGACGCTGTATAGAGTCCGTTTCCATACACCCGGTCAGACAGCGGGATGGATTGACTGCAGTTGTTTAACAGCACAACAGACTGACAGGCCGGCGGCGGCAGTGGAGCTCACAGGGACGGCCAGACTGAGCTCACCCAGGCCACCAGCGGCCGTCACGACTCCTCCCAAATCAATTGTCTTGTCAATCCAACGTCAGTTTTCTGCTTCCTTACAGAGCTGTAAGTTTGGGCTCACAGTCAGGAGTCGGCTGGTGCTGTAAGGTGTCTTAGGGTCAAAATGACGCCATCAACACACTGTGCAGCCAGTAGGACTTAGGTTCAATAACATTTTATCGAATCCAATTATAATAAAGGTTTTCCTTTAAACATTTGCATATCAAAAGGATAAAATAACTCTAACTCAGTGATGTCTAATAATGTTTTTCTTGGCTGAGAAGGCAGAAATATATTATATATGAAATTAAATGTACAGCATCTACCTATAATTGACCTTTTGCTAAGTCCCGCCCCTTTGTGATGGTCCAACAAACTGTCGGAGTAAGCATGGAGCCCACACTGTAACTAACAGCACTCCCTGAAGAAATATTATCATATTTTTGGAGAAATGAAAGAGTGATTCCAGAGAGAAGCAGACAGAGGGGTCTACAGTCTGTGTTTGAAGGATATATCCAGGATGTCAAACTGACTCAGCAGCAACAGGTTAAAAAGACAAAGATAGTTCGAAGCTAAAGCCGAACTATAGGCTACAGATCACAGTGTAAAAGTGAACCACCACATCACTGCTGATTGCCACAGAACACAATGAATATTAAGGGAAACTTTGCTGATATTGAACCAGCTGTGTGGCATCACAGTGTGTGCAGATGAACAGTGTTTGGCTTCGCCCCCGTGCTGCTGCCAGCACCCGGACTTTTACCGCCAGATGGGCAGGGATCTCCAGGGGAAGATACAAACTGTACAAACTGTACAGATTTCACTTCTCACATGTGACCAACACAACCTGCTGTATCAAACAGTGGGCACTGAGCTGTGTGTTGTTATAACACTCCTCTAGTTTGTCTCTGCTTTACTGCCACGTGTGTGTGTTTAGCTCTGTGTTACATATTAACCGGTATATCCATGAAGCCGGCGAGCGTCTCCATAGTGACACGAGGACAGAAACCTGCCTCTCTTTTTCATATTCAGGGTGAAGACTTTATTAGTTTGTCAAAAAACAAACTTTATTGTACAGCAGCACACACTCACACCCACCCACCCAGTTACTATACAGAGGGTATCAAACATCAAACCCTTTGACACCACTTTTATTTGACACTGTGATTTTAATGCAACCTGGCAACTCAAAGGCTGCTCAGGACAACACGGCAGTCAGTGTCAATAATTTTCTGCCATTTCACTAACTGAGTAAATTATATGTAAACTATCATTTCAGAGAATCTGATAAAACTGGATGTTTAAAGCCTTTAATTAATTACTTCTGTCCGCTGACCACAGATGCACCAAACTATCATCTGTTTTTATCAACAACATCCGGCAGCTTCAGCTTTCGGACCTCTGTCAGAAACTCAACACTTCTCCTTGACAACACTGGGATTGTTTACCATGGAAACGTTTTAGCAGCGCCATGACGACCTGCTGCTGGTCAGGCAGGGAGATGATCTGATGGATACTTGATCTCTCTGCATGTACCTGTCTGTCTTTCTCTTGAGAAAAATATCAACAAATTCAATGAGCTCATCTCCTTTGAGACTGTGTGCGTGTGTGTGCGTGTGTGTGTGTGTGTGTGTGTGTGAGAGAGAGAGAGAGCATCAGTCACGCATTGTCGCTTAAGGACTGAGAGGGAGTAATTTTAGGCATTCAGGATCACTATAGGACTAATAATAACAACATAATTTTTTTTTGGATAACAATGAACAATGATTCTGATAAACCTGGAGCGACATCACTTTTCTTGTGCTGCTTTCAGACGCCTTTCACAAGTATTTAAACCTTCGAACTCTGAGCTAATTAAAAACACGCGAAAAAAGACAATTAGATACTTATTAAGAAATGTTCCACAAATTGTTAAAAAAAATTAAGAGATTGAGAAAATTATTTTAAAAAGTTGGAGGGAAACTATATTTGTAATCATCATTACTATATATTTAAAATTATGCTACAGGACTATTATAGCCTAATTTTTAAGCTCTTTTTCCAGATCATTTCCTTGTTTGTTTTTAACTTTCTTGTCTGTCTTCCTTTCCTTTCTTAAGCAAATTGGTGCCGTTTCTTTCAAAAACATGGGGGGGGGGGGCAATAAGCAACTTAGTAAGAAATGTCCCAGGAATTGCAATCTTTTTTTTTTTTTTTCTTTTTAAACTAGGACAACAAAAAAGCGAGGGAAAAACTATATTAGAATTATTATTATTACATGTTTAAAATTATGGTACAGAATTAATATACTTTTTAATCACTTTTTCCGGTTTGGTGGAGATTCTCAATCATCCAGGTCATGGTAATTGTAAGTGCTATATTGTAGGCGGCTGGACTTGTTTGCCTTTCTTGAAGACATTTTGCCTCTCATCCAAGAAGCTTCTTCAGTTCTACAGTACTGGTGCCCTTGCAACCCTGTGAAACAACAGAGCATATTTACCGTGCACCATATGAACAGTAAGGGCTCATTTATGCTCCCTTTACGTACGAAAATGTATACGTCCATTTCAAACGATGTTACCATCGCTGCCCACATACTTCCATGCGCCCTTTACGTTGGCATGGATGTTAAGCAATATATCCACCAGGAGGCAGCCTAGCGTCAAAAGTTTATGACAACAACAAACTTTAAAATAAACATGGCGACTGTGGAGGAGATATTGATAATGTACCTCTTGCATAAAAGATAAAAACAGAGGCAGCGTTGTAGGAGGCGGTGGTCGGTGAGGCCGTTAAATACATCGTGACTGGAGGATGGAGAATTCTTTTCTCTAGTAGCCTACTGCCGATGAGAGAAATTGAATTGTTATTTCTTCTTCATGTCTCACTAGAGCTACGTATCGGGTAGTGACAGCAACACTGCCCCCACGGTTCCCGGTGGTACTGCTCCGTTTGGCCCGTATCCGTAAGCTTTATGGAAACGTGCAGAAATACGGACGAAATGAACGCGGAGCACGGACAGAAGGCTCCGTCCATATCCAGATCCGTCTTTAACGTTGAGCATAAACGAGCCCTAACATGAACCGTCACGAAATGTTTCTGCTATAGAGCTCAGTGGTTAAAGAAAAATAAGGTTTGTTTTGGTCTCGCTCCCTTTTGACTTTAGCTGTTTGTTTACTTTCCTCACTTCTGTTTCTCTTCTTGTGCGCTGAGCTGAACTGACAATCAGAGTGATTTTATTCATTGCAGACGCCGACTGAACATGCTGAATCGGCCAAAAAGGGCCGATAGGAGCTGATCAGGGACAACAGTGTGAGACACACTGCACCAACTAGGGCGACAGACGCTCACCTATAGCCAACCATCGACAGGTGTGTCAGGGCCTGTAAAGTACCTTAACAGCCTCTATTAGCTGCTCCAGTGACTCTAATGTCAACATCAGGATGAGAGTTTCACATGCCATGCAATTTTTTTGAATTTTAGAGACAAAATTACATTGAGAGATAGATGGAGCCTTGGTGGTCAGCAGAGCTAGGCAGTGAGTGTGTTAAAAAGAGCGGCAATGAGAGAACAAAGTGAGTGAACAAGGGAGGTAAAACTTAATTTGCTTATTGTTTCGTCACAGTAGCGTAGAAATAGATATCGCTCTTAGCAGATTGTCCACTGTAGAGACATGTTTCAGTCTCCTTTTCCATCTCTGTGTCTTTATCTATTCATTCATTACATCGGCTCAAACAACAGGGTCAAAGAGAAACACATGACTGAGTCATCGGTTTTATTTGTGTGATGTTCATGGTTCTTCAGATGTGGTGGAAATGCAAACAGTAATGTGAACAAGGGACTTTTAGTTCCTGAGGTTAAGGACTCTGGCTCCATAGTTCCTGGAACTGTTTGGTCATAAATGGCTAATTGGTTTCTAGTTCACCCTGGATCCTAATGCTGACTTGGGACCTTATCCAACTTAGGTTGTTATATTGGGTCCCAAGTGCCATCTCAACCCCCATTTACATCCTGGATCCTAGTGTCATCCTGGGTCCTTAAGTACAAAGCAACTGCAAGCGTCTTTTACTGGTCTCAAGGAGGTGACTCTCATAAACCGGGGTGGAAATTCATGTTTAAGTCTGTAAATGCTGCAGTGGAGTCATGTTGGTGACAGTGAGGTTGGGTCTACATTTGTTTTTGGGGGGGGGGCGCTTTTGGTAATGGTGGGGGTCTAGCAAAGAGAAGAGGGGTGTTAGGGGAGCACCTCTCAGGAGCTCCTGAACCTGGTCAGAGCTATGGGGTGTGAGAGACGGCAGGAGGTGCACTGTGTGTCTGTGTGTGGGGTCATTAACAGGGCGAGGTCACAGCCTTCTGGGAGCAGATTATAGCAATGATCTGGATAATGGAGCTGCTGTGTGTGTGTGTGTGTGTGTGTGTGTGTATTGATCTGTGCTGGTCTACGGGGATTTATAATGCGGTCTCTAAATCTGCCTAATGATGGGCTGTACAGGGGGTCAGGGGTGTATGTGTGTGTGTGTGTGGTTACATGGTATTGACTGCAAACTACAGACACACACACACACACACTGTCTACCAGTGTTGGTGATGTAAACAATATGCTGAATATTTTGCATCACAGGCCTCCTCCATGTTAGAGCAGTATACAGGTGTCTACTCTTACAAGTACAGGCTGAACTTAATCCATCCAGTATTTTTCTGGGTTTTTGAATTGAGGGACCAAACAACAGTCCAAGACCTAAAGATATTAAGTGTTATGTAAAGTATTTCATACAGTGGTATGAAATAAAGAACTGGAACCAAAGGAGTTCTGGCAAATCAACATCATCATTTTACTACGCTACCAGTTTATTGAGTTAGCCAGTAAGTGATTAATCACAAAAAAATACACAGTGATTAGTGTTTACACTAATCAAACGAATTGTGTTCAAGTGTACTTGAATATGGGCCCGGGTCCCTGATGTTAAAGATTTGTAAGAGTCTGCAGCTGTGCTAGCTGCTCTATAAGGCTCTATTTAGGCACAGCAAAGCTTTGAGCAAAATGCTAATGTCAGCATACATACTTCTAATGACATTCTCATCAGCATCATCTGAAGTCTTTCGGGCTAATTGGTGAATGTTAGCATGCTAACGTGATGACTGTTATACCTGTTAACATCAGCATGTTAGCACGTCTTTAGTTTTGCTGGTGATTGGTCATAAACCAATGTGTTGGATCAGCTAAATTAAACATTTGACCTGATTATGGTGCTAAGAAGTTAAATTTGCTAAAGTCATTGTGTTTCATTACAGAGTCCAGCAGGCGTCCCAGGTATCTCAAGGTGTTCATCAACCCCAGCAGCCACAAGAAGGAGGCCGTTCACATCTACAGAGAACACGTGGCTCCGCTCTTCAAGATGGCTGACATCCGCACTGACATCACCGGTCAGTCCATCCACCTGTTTATTTATTTGTTGATCATCTTTCCAGTAAACAATAATAACAGTTATTAAATTTGAGACTGATTTTTGGGTGATGTCACACCTCACGTGTTGTTATAAAATTATATGTAAGTGCAGCAGAACTGTGGTTTTAATAGTTTTAAATGTCCCTCCTTTATTATTGATATGAGATAAATCAGTGTGTGTGTGTGTGTGTGTGTGTGTGTGTGTGTGTGTGTGTGTGTTTGTGGAGGAGGAGGTCCAAAGGTCAGAGTTAATGGCAGTCTCTGGTCGCTAGGTAACCTGATACAGGGGGCGGAGCTTAGCCCATCTGTTGTGACAGGGGGACAACCTACTCCTCTCCTCCTTTCTCCTCTCCTCTTGTTTCCTGTATTCTCCTCGCCTCCTGTCCTGATCTCCTTTTTGTTTCCTCCCCCTCCTCTTTACTCCATTTGCTCTCCTCTCATCTCTTCTCCTTGTTTCCTCTCCGTATTTCTTCTCATCTTTTCTCCTTGACCCTTCTTCTTGCCTCCTCTCTTTATCTTCTCTTTTTTCCTTGTTTCCTCCATCTTCTCTTTTCCCTTCTTTTCCCTTCTTATCTCCTCTTTCCCTTCTCCTCTCCTCTCCTCTCCCCTTCTCTTTATCTCTTTTTTCTTCTTTCCTCATCTTTTCTTTTCTCTCCTCATCTCCTCTTCTCTCCTAGTTGTCTCTCATCTCCTCTCCTTGTTTCCCCTCTTCTGCCCTCTCCTCCTCCTCATATCTCCTCCTCTCGTTTCCTCCCCTCTCCTCCTCCTCATATCTTCTCCTCTCGTTTCCTCCCCTCTCCTCCTCCTCCTCCTATCTTGTCCTCTCCTCCTCTCAGCAGATGGTGTGATATCCGTTGTCCCACTTTTTTTTGGCAGCCATCGAACACACACTTGCGTACATGTGACCACACACATACATGAACACTCTATCTCTGTCCATCTAAATGTCTCTCCATCTGTTTCTCTCTCCTTTCCCCCTCTCTGCTCCTGCATGTCTCTCTCCTGCTGTCTGTCTCTCCTCCTGTCTGTCTGTCTCCTCCTGTCTCTCCCTCCAGTGACGGAGAGGAAGGGTCATGCTCTCTCAGTGATGAAGGAATGCAAGCTGGATGAATATGATGGGTTAGTTGTGTCTCTGTCTCACCTCTTTCTATAAATTTAATTTATTATGGAAAATTCTGCATAAAATATTCTGATGTTATTCTTTCATATGAGGTAGGTCATGATGTTCATAGTCTTTAGTACTACAAGTGATCTCCTGCACTCAGTACAGCTGATATTTATAATAATATAGACCCCTTTAGAGCAGATGTCACAATGACATCAGTTTATTGGCTGGAGCCAAAACCTGCCTCTCCACCACAGGGCTGTAGGCTACACAGGAGTCTTAAAATGTCGTCTTGTTGTGTTATTGGGAGCCAGAATAGTGAATCATTATATTGATGGATTGTTTCACCCCTACTTATCAATAGTAGATGTAACTTTGTCTTAGATAACTACTTTGTCTGGGGTTGATTAAATCTTCCCCAATTCGATCCCAGTGTTATTATCACTGACAGAAATGGTGGAGAAAAACATGAATATAAGACACAAGTTGTATGAAACTGTAAGATTCCTTTAATTAAAATAAAGTTTAAGTTGCAAAAGTAAAAGCCCGGTGTTTACATTAACGCTGAAAGTACTCGAACTGTGACATCATCCTTCCATAACAGTCACTCTGAACTGAACCAGATAATTAAACAGCAGTTTACCGTCAGAGGCTGACACTAAAGCACACTGACCCAGATTGATTACACACACACACACACACACACACACGCAGACAGATGAGATCAAACACAACCTGCTGACTGCTCTAACTTCACTGATAAAGTGAAAGTAATATTTTTTGCCTCTGAGATAAATAATACAACAATAATAACTACGAGTACAAAAGCGATAATCAATCTCTCATCACTATCTATGGCCTGTGTGTGTGTGTGTGTGTGTGTGTGCGTGTGTGTGTGTGTGTGTTGTTCGTGTGCATTCACGTACGTGTGTCTCAGCAGCTTTTGTGCTCAATCCTCATAAAGCTTAATGTGCTTAGAGAAGATTAGCTCAGCATTGCTAAGCTAGCTGCTGTGTGTGTGTGTGTGTGTGTGTGTGTGTGTGTGTGTGTGAGGCTGCTCTGGTGAGGATTTGGTTGAAACCTACATTTGCCAATTAGGCTAGCTGTCACCGTGGCGACCGGAGCTTCAGGTAATCCCATACACAGGAGGAGGGGGAGGGGGCGGAGTTTGTTTACTTCACATTTATAGCAAACACGAACTCTGAAGATGAAACTTATTCTTTTTAATGAGCTCCTGAAAACACTGAAAAAACCTGTCAGCGGTCAATATGATCAGTACTAATCTCTTACCACTACTACTTATATTAATAATAATAATACACGACCAAAAACTCTCCGTTACTCGCATAAAATCTCATAAAAGTGACCTAATATGCAACAAAATTTATACAAAAATGAGAGAAAAGTAAATGCACATCTGCAGGTACAAACCATAACTGAATGTTTTCTTACTCAATCGTCCACATGTCTGTTGTTATCAGTTTCAGGATTGCAGACAGGATTTTTTAGAGTCCAAATACCCCTAACAGAACCCTAAGAAACCCACTAATAAATGCTTGAGTAGCCACCTGCTGGACTCTGTGTTAAATGTTGTATTTTTGTCCAAATAAAACTGTCTATAAAACAAATAAATCAGTCTAATATTAGCAGAGGTTTAATTTAAATCAGGATCTGTGTGTAAACAAGCAGACTGTGAATGTGACACCCAGTGGCAGTGTGACATACATGACCCAGCCCTAGTCAGTGCTATTGTTAGTAAGGAAATATTCAGCAATAGTCTGTGGAGGAGCCATGCCCTCTACTGGATGACCATGAACCTGAGGACACCTCCTGTTAATGCCACCAAAAATTAGTGTTTGCTGGATTCCCTGTCTGCCATCAGGAGCTAAGATTAGTGAAGAGTCTCTTAAACGTAACAGTGAAAGTCCAGACCATTGTTTTATGCTGCAGAGACACAAGTTGTTTTCTACCTTTTTGTCTGTCTGTCTGTCTGTCTGTCTGTCTGTCAGGGTGGTGTGTGTAGGTGGAGATGGCTCGGTGGCGGAGCTATGTCACGCTCTGGTCCTCAGGGCTCAGCTGGATGCTGATTCTCCAGAGAAACCAGTAAAACCAGTGCTGCCGCTTGGAATAATTCCTGCTGGTGAGAGACAGGAAACACCCCCATTTAGATCCACACACTATAGACCAGCACTGCACAGAAACACACACAGTAGATCCACATTATGTAGGAACTACCAACCCTCTATCTGTCTGTCCATCTTTACAGGTTCCACAGATGTTGTTTCCTGTTCTGTTCATGGAGTCAGAGATCCAGTCACTGCAGCCCTGCACATCATCCTGGGTAGGTTCTACCTGCTCTATATCTATGTTATGATTATCAAGAGTGGATTCTACCTGCTCCAGATCTATAGTCAGATTGTCTTAGGTAGGTTCTATCTGTTCTTTCTTTTACAGTTACGTTTACCCGTTGGGTGTAGTTGCGCTTACCCGTTCTACATTCATAGTCACAGGGTCCAGGGTAGGTTCTACTGTACTTGTTCTGTGTTTATACTTTTGTTGTCCTGGGTGGACTGAGGGGACCTACTTGTTCTTCCTTGGTGGATTCTACCTTCCCTAGATCAACAGCTGCATAGTCCTGGGTGGCATCCACCTATTCTTGCTCTGTAGACTAATTGTCCAGGGTGAGTTCTAATTTAATTCAATTCAACAGAACTTTATTTATCCCAAAGGGAATTCTTGTGCCAGAGAATGCTTCAATTACAGTAACAACAATTAATATTTTCAAACCAGTAACAACCAGAACAATCAGTGGCTTCCCCAGGTCAGGGTCACACACTGGACCCAGTTTTTAAAACATCCATACACCCATCCATTTTCAATCACTTACCCGAAGCCGGGTTGCAGGGGCAGCAGGCCGAGCAAAGTGCTTCAGACGTCCCTCTCCCCAGCAACACTTTCCAGCTCCTCCTGGGGGACCCCAAGGTGTTCTCAGGCCAGATGAGATATGTAATCCCTCCAGCATGTTCTGGGTCTGCCCCGGAGCCTCCTACCAGTTGGACATGCCCACAACACCTCCAACCAGAGGCGCCCAGGAGGCATCCTGATCAGATGCCTGAACCACCTCAACTCACTTTCAACGCGGAGAAGCAGCGACTCTACTCTGAGCTCCCTCCTAATGTCCGAGCTCCTTGGCGGCAGTAGCTCAGTCCATAGGGACTTGGGTTGGGAACCGGAGGGTCGCCTGTTCAAGTCCCAGTCCGGACCACATATGGAGCATGGACTGGTGGCTGGAGAGGTGCCGATTCACCTCCTGGGCACTGCCGAGGTGCCCTTGAGCAAGGCACCGAACCCCCCAACTGCTCGGGCACCTGACCAAGGCAGCCCCCTCACTCTGACATCTCTCCACTTTGTGCATGTATAGGTCCTGTTTGGCCATGTGTGTGTCTTTCGTACTTGTGTGTTAATGACAAAAGAGTGAAAAAGTTGAATTTCCCCTTAGGGGGATTAATAAAGTATAAAAATTAAAAATTAATTAAATTAATTAAAAATTAAAAAAATTAATCATATGTGTATAATAACAGTAGAAGTATGACTAATGACTAATGATGGCAGCAACAGCAGCAGGAGGCATCTGGCAGGACCACGGCAGCAGCACAACCACACACGTCACGCTGTCCAGGCACCGCTGCGATATGAGTTAATCTGAGAGACAGTGGAGCACAAAAGCTCCGGAGAAGAAGCCGAGTTAGTGACATGCAGTACAGCTGAGTTAGCAAGATGCAGTAATAGGATACGAGAGAGAGAGAGAGAAGGAGAGAAGGTGCTCGGTGTATTATAGGGGGGTCCTCCGGCAGACTAGGCCTAAGTCAGCCTAACTAGGGGCTGGTACAGGGCAAGCCTGAGCCAGCCCTAACTATAAGCTTTATCAAAGAGGAAAGTCTTAAGTCTAGTCTTAAATGTGGAGACGGTGTCTGCCTCCCGGACCGTAACAGGAAGATGATTCCACAGGAGAGGAGCCTGATAGCTGAAGGCTCTGGCTCCTGATCTACTTTTGGAGACTTTAGGGACCACGAGTAACCCTGCGTTCTCAGAGCGCAGTGTTCTGGTGGGATAATAAGGCACTATGAGCTCTCTAAGATATGAAGGAGCTTGACCATTTAGAGCTTTATAAGTTAACAGTAGGATTTTAAATTCAATTCTGGATTTTACAGGGAGCCAGTGCAGAGAAGCTAAAACAGGAGAAATATGATCTAGTTTCTTAGTTCCTGTTAGTACACGTGCTGCTGCATTCTAAATTAGCTGGAGAGTTTTTAAGGACTTACTAGAGCTACCTGATAATAGAGTTACAGTAATCCAGTCTAGAGGTAACAAAAGCGTGGACCGATTTTTCTGCATCTTTTTGGGTCAGGATAGGCCTAATTTTCGCAATATTATGCAGATGAAAAAATGCAGTCCGGGAGGTTTGTTTTAAATGAGAATTAAAAGACAAATCTTGATCAAATAAAGTTTTGTCTTTCGGCTCAGATCTCTCTTCACCACAACAGCCAAACACAGCGCCTACAACAAACTGCCAATCTTAGGCTCCATTCTACCCTCACTCATGAACAAGACCCCGAGATACTTGAACTTCCTTGCTTGGGGCAGTAACTCTCCTCCAACCAGGAGGGGGCAATCCACCATTTTCCAGCTAAGAACCATGGCCTCACACTTGGAGGTGCTTACTCTCATCCTGACTGCTTCAAAACAATATTCAAAATATACAAGCCATAATTATATTTGTCCTAAAATCTATAGTTGGCTAATCCTGGAAGTTTTCTACCTGGTGTAGATCTACAGTTACATTGTCCTGGGGGGGATTGTAAGTGTTCTAGATCTATGATTACTTCTACATGGTGGGTTCTGCTTCCTCTAGATCTACTGTATATCCACATAATCCCAGATAAGCTCTACCTGTTCTAGATTTTTCTTCCCATCATACTGGGTGGGTTCTACCTGTTCCAGATCTACAGGCATGTTGTCCTGGATGTCTTCATCTACTGTCACATCATTCTTTACCTGTTATAAAACTATACTCGTGTTATCATCAGTGGATTCTACCTGATATAGGTCTGTTGTCACCTCCCCATTGTCGTTTCATTTTAATTAATTGCGAGCGACTCACAAGGAGCCAATCAGAAGCTTGTATTCATGTTGGATTTTGCTGTGATTGGCTGATGGTCACTCAGACTGTTTAAGAACAAACAAACCTACAGACAGACGGTGAGACAGGACACTCGAGGCGGCAGACAGACAGACAGATGTCTAACAGCAGGATCAGTTTCACTCTAAATCACAGGTTTACTCTGCTCACTATAGCCCCGCCCCCTCCATCTCTCAGGGAAACCTGCTGACCAATCAACTGTCAGCAGGGTTAGGCTGCGGTGTTTGAATGACAGGTTGTGGTGAGATGGTGGTTAATTAACGCTAATTAACACTGGGAGCTGTGTGTGTGTGTGTGTGTCTGTGTCTGTGTGTGTGTGTGTGTGTGTGTGTGACAGATGGGAGTATTCAGTGGCACATATGAGACTAATTCCTGGACAATAGAAAACAGTTAATAACTTCCCAGGCAGGAAGCTGTTCCCATGTACACTCAGTGACAACAGGTGAGTTCAGATGTGTTCCCGACACGGCCAAGGTGAACATACCTGAACTCAAGTCTGTACGGTGCACATCAGGTCACAGCCAGTTAGCTTTCCCTTTTGGGGTCATTCTTCCTTCGTTGCTCTTTGCCTTCTTCCCATATTTTTTAAAAGTAATCAATTTCAAGCAAATCAATTTGGAACGAGAAACTTCAACATAATAACATAATGCTTTTTAGTCCATACATTAAACTCTATAGTATATTTATTACCTGCTGGTCAAAAAACATAATTGGTTGTGCCTTTAAGAAGCGCTCCAGGTTTGATCTCACTGACACACTGACTGTGAGACTGAGCATCTCACACACACACTCACACACACACACACACACACACGCACACACACTAATAACATGCCATATGGAGAGGAAATCAGATTCTATCCAGAGAGAAAGACAGGCGGTCAGTCAGACAGATAGGTGGGAAGACAACAGTTCAGTAGGTTACAGCAGGTATGTGGCCAGATGGCATGGTGTGTGTGTGTGTGTGTGTGTGTGTGTGTGTGTGTGTGTGTGTGTGTGAAGCATCTTACTGAATGGTCTTGATGGTGAAATCAGGGCGATGGAGTCGATTGTATTTTCATTCCAGTTACTTCAATGGTGCTGCGTTCAGAGGCTGTGGGAAAATAAACAGCAAAAAAAAAATCATAGTAGAAGGTCAGCTTACTGAATTTTTTTCAGCCTCATTTCATGGGCTCTGTCAGCTGATGGACGGAGTTTGATAGTTTAAGGGACTGAGAAGTTTCATGTGTTTCTGTTGGCTCAACAGAAGAATCTGTCGAATCATTTAAAGTTATTTAAATTCATCTTCTTGCTTTGGAAAACATTGAAAGTGACAGATTGTCTTTTAATCATCACTTTCACTGAGAGACACATTTGTCCTAAATCTGCTTAAAGTGTCTTCTTGACTCTGCGGCTTCAGAGACTGGTCAGACTGGACTGATATATCAGCCAGAGACAGGTCACTCTACTGCAGTCTGATTCCACTGAAGTTTAGACATATTAACACACACACATATACATGCACACTCTTCGCCCCGACCTCTTTCTGTCACCCATATTTGGAGTACTGCTTCTCATGAATATTAATGAGACCCTCACCATACGACCACTTGGCCCTCTGACAGGCTGTGTGTGTGTGTGTGTGTGTGTGTGTGTGTTGAGTTTTCCTGATAAATATTCATAATTGAAAATAATCTCTCATCAGTGCTTCGTCTCTCTGTCTGTCTTCAGGTCACCTGCAGCAGGTCGACATGTGCAGCTTCTCGTCTCTCGGTCAGTTGGTGCGTTTCGGTTTCTCCGCCATGTTCGGCTTTGGTGGGCGGAGCTTAGCACGGGCAGAGAAGAAGAGGTGGATGCCTTCATCGCGGCGACGAGAATACGCTCTGGTGAAGACGCTGGCTAGGCTGAGGTAAAACACACACATATATAAACATTTACACGTACTTCTAGATTTTTGAAATGTCATTGGATTGCTAGGATCAAAGAACGTTAGTGAAATTAGTCATTTTGCAGGCACTTGTTTTGTGGGCCTCACGATGAGGAAGATCTACGTAAATTTGTATCCAGGAAGACAAACGTTTTCAGCTTCATGTGCCACTGGCCAACTTAAATAGGAATGAAGGATGCTGCTCCTATGCTGTATCCAGCTCTCTTTATACATCCATGATACATCCTCACAGAGCTGCTAGAATGGCTGCAGACTCTGATTCTGGTTTCTAATTTCTTCTTCTCCTCTGTCTTCCTCAGACCCGAGGACTGTCAGCTGTCTTTTCTACCAGCGAAGAAATCAAACAGGTCAGAGTCACACACAACATTGGCACTGAGGGAAATTATCCAGTACGTGGTTGTTTCCAGGCTCTTTACCAGATTATTGACCTGAGCGGGGCGTCTTCATAGACAAGCATCATGTATATGTTTATAAATGTCTGTGTGTCCTGTTGACTTAAAATAAACACACCTGTCTGTCACGTTTCATCTCGTCTTTCTCAGAGATCAGCATCAGGACCAGGACCCAGATTCAGGTGAGACTCCTCCGTCTTTAGATGGACACTTGTGGACAGGAGATCAAAGCTGGTTTAGATTTCCTCACTGTTTTTCTCTCTGTGATCGGTCGGTGCAGAAGGGGAGGAGTCCTGGACGACCAATCAGGGCCTGTATCTGAGCATCAGCGTCATGTCCATCCCCTGTCTGAGTCCACACACACCTCACGGACTGGCTCCCAACACCAGGTACATGACCAGCAGCTCATCCTTGTGAGGATGTTAGTCAGCTGTGTTGAGACCTTGAACACACCACACTGCAGGTTCATTTCATCATGTTTCTCCTCCACTTCCTGTTTGTGACAGTTTAGCAAACGGCAGCGCAGCATTGATCGCAGTAGGAAACACTTCCAGGTCAGAGTTCATCAAACACCTGAAGAGATACAGCAGCTCTAGTGGACAGGTGAGAGCAGCTGTCACTCAACATCCCCACACTCTTTATTAAATACTACAGTGTTGTTTAGAATAAGACTACATGGGTTTGGGACAGGGTTTAAAATCCAGTATCAGAATCAGTATCATTTTGAATCTTTTGCTGGATCTTATTTTGTAGAAGCTGCCACTTGGTTTTAAAATTCCAGATATTGTCCAGACAGAAAACTAGATCCAAAATGGCCGACTATCTGACCCTAATGTGGACAGTGCTGTCTCACTCTTCACCTTGCTGTCCCGAAGGCTCCACCTCTCACAGGGCAAAAATAAACAAACTAGTTAGTGAGTAGATTAGCCTGTTTCTGCCCGGCCCGGCCTGAGAGACCGCACACTAACCCACTTACTATATATACTGACAGCGTGGCGTTCACTGTCCTGCAGAGTAAACAGGCTGTTTACTCACTGACCTACATCCTGTTAGCCTCCATCCTGATGGAGGAGGACGGACAGCTCAGAGTCAAACACGACAAGACGGGGCAGCCGACAAGTAGCCATGACAACCTCAGATTGAACCTCACCTGAGTCAGACATGTCAGGTGGAGAAAGGAAAGCAGAATTTCAGCAGTGTGTTGAAAAAAATCAGAAACATCCAAACTACTTTTCTGTAGTTTAAGTCCCAACTTACATAGCATACACACATACTCTGATGAAGGTCTAATAGACCGAAAACTCAACGATAAAGTGAAACACTGCATAGATACACGTGTGGAAATCTTTTCTACCAGTGTTGGAGCAAGCAAAAGCACCAACAACACACTGTAGAAATACTCTATTACAAGTACAAGTCCTGAATGCGAAGATAAGGTTGATCAGGAAAATGTACTAGAAATATTTAAAGTAAAAGTACTCAGTGCAGAGGAATTTCCCCTGTGGGTGTATATCTAAGGATATATTGTAAATGTAATAGTAAGAAAACTGTGCCGTCACATTAACCCAGAGCTGATGCGTGACATCATCACGTCTTGTTTTGTCTCACCAGCAGTCCAAACCTTAAAAATTATTCAGTTTACTGTAATTTAGGCAACAAATCATCATTTGAAACGCTCAAACTGTGAGATGTTTGACATTTTGGCATAAAAAGTGATCCAAATAATCAGTTATAAAAATGGTTGCATTCTTTTTTGGATGATTGCTTAATCAACAAACTCATTATTTAATTACTCATTAAAGATAAAATACTTCTTTATATATTTTGTATGCAGAGGCTTAATTGTTAAGTCATTAGGAACATTTCAAATTAATTTAGTGGAGTAAAAACTACAATATTTCCCTCAGACATATAGTTGAGTTGTAAATATAAAGTGCCATGATATGGAAATACAAAGTACTGATACCTCACATTTTTACTGAAGCACTGTACTTCAGTAAAAATGTACTTTAGTTACCTTCCACGTCTTGTTGCTCTAAAACAGATTACCAAACCTGTGAATGTGTTCTGAGATCAGCTTTATTCCAAGAAAATGAGATCAAACTTGATGAGGAAAGACAGACAGAGACAGACAGGGCGGAGAGAGGAACAGGCTGTCTGTCTCTCTGTTGGTCTTTGCTGCCCCCTGTTGGAGCATCATGGTGTTACAGCAGAGGACAGTGAACAGGGAGAAACCCAGTCACTCCTCTAGATGATCAAGCCGCTTAACAAGGATCTTAAGGCCTTGATCTTTGACCTATGACACACACACACACACACACACACACACACACACACACACCTCTCCATCAGTCTTACTGTCTGATCTTCTGCAGTTCAGCTTCACATTCGTGGAGACGCATGCCGTGTCAGCGGTGAGGATACGCACGCGCTCTGTGATTGGCTGGTCGGAGGAGGACAGCGAGGAAGAGGGCGAGTCCAAAACCATGCCCATCATCCAATCAGAGGGACCCGCCTTCCCCTGGAACATCGATGGAGAGCTGGTAGAGATCGCTAACGAAGTGCTCATCAGGTAGAAATCATAAATTATAAATCAATATATTATTACACTGAGTGAAACAGGGCTGCAGCCAATTCTGGATGTCAGAATTTCCAAAATTGTCTTCAAATCTCTGTTGAGGCTACAGTGTGAAATAAAAAGTGATCAATTATCCATACAATAATGAAACCACCAGTTGAATAAAGTGCATTTGTGTGTGTGTGTGTGTGTGTGTGTGTGTGTGTGGTGTGTTCAGGGTCCACCCGCAGCTCATCACACTATACGGGGAGGACGTGGACGAGGCCGAGTCTACCGTCTCCTGCAGCTGCATCTGAGTCCAGTAGAGGGCGCTGCTGTGTTTGTGTTGGGACAAGAACGCTTCGCCATGGTGACCACAGTGACTCAACAGTGCCCTCTCTGTCATTACTGTTTCCATGACGATGTAAACTGACGTAGACGTTTCATTGAAAGCAGCAAAAACACTTGCCAGTAGCATCAGAGCTTTGCAGCTTCCTGTTTACATTAAAGCTGCATTAATTGATTTTTGTTTTTTATTTTTATTGATTACTGCAGCTTTAATAGCCTGTAAGCTAAAGCAGGATTCATAGTTGTGGGTCAGCTCTACGCTGTAGCCTACACACGTGGCCTACACCATTGTGAGCATTAATACTTGTGCTTTGGTGTGTCACTCTACAGTTACACTGGCAAACCGCTAGTCCGTGGTGGGGGTTCTGTGAAGTGCTGTAAAGTTTAGTTGATTCAAAACACACATTAAACACACATTAAACATGGCTTAATAGAGACAGTTTCAAACACAAGTACAAAAATCAGCTTCACTATTACTCGCAGCATTCACAGACAAACACTTGTCTTTATCTGGACACATTTTCCCCCACAAATACAACATGCTAATGTTTTTAGCACAAGCCTATGGCATTTTACATTGTATAGATTAGCCTAGTGGCTAGCGGACTCTTTCTCAACTTAATATGAAGCCAGGGACAACAGCAACATTTAACAAAGGTTTTGTTACAAAATTTGGCTCCATTACAACTCACAAGGTTCACTGACAAAACTACTTTCTTATACTAAACACATTTTCCAAACAATTATAACATGCTAACGTTATTAGCACAAGCCTATGACATTTTATATTGTATAAATTAGCCTAGTGATGAGCAGAGATTTCCTCTACTCCTATGAAACCAGGGACAACAGCAACATTTAACAAAGGTAACGTTACAAAATTCAGCTTCATTGCAACTCACAAGGTTCACTGACAAAACAACTGTCTTATACTAAACACGTTTTCCAAACAAATATAACATGCTAACGTTATTAGCACAAGCCTATGGTATTTTACATTGTATCGATTAGCCTAGCAACGTGCAGAGATTTCCTCTGCTCATATGAAGCCAGGATAAATCACACACAAGACTTATAATGCTATTTTTGTGGAGGCTTTATTGTCTGTGAAATAAAAGTTAGACAGAAATATAGAGAGGAGGTCTGCGTCGCCGTGACGTGTAGTTACATTTCTGTAGGGGTGCACGTCAGGCTACAGCATAGGGTGCACTGTAGGCTCTACATCAACACAGCGCCTACGCCGTAGGACCAGTGTCGTTTTGACGCAGAAGTATAAATCCTGCTTAACTTGTAAGCAACCTTTAACTCCAGACTGCCTGTACTTTATAATGTAGAAGTTTAGCACTTGATAGACCTGATTGATGAGGATACATACTGCTTTTTTTAAAGGAAATTATTGTTTACAATTTAACATATTTTAATGACTAGCTCTTCTAAGAGGACTTTAATATAATTTGTGTTGCCTATTTTTTATTTCGATTTTCATTGTGTTTTTTCTTGTCCAGTTTTTGGTTCTGCTGCAGAGAGCAAAGATTCATCTGTAATTCAGACTGTAAACACATGAGCTAAAATAGTGAACTGAATCTAACACTGTGAGGAGAAGAGTACATTTTTTAATGTATCGTTTTTGTTGTTGTTGTTTTTGTTGTTACTGTTAGATTATCGTTTTATGTTGGTGATAGTTGAGCATCTTTCTGTACAGATGAGCAGAACCACACTGGACGAGCCCAAAGTGTCCAAAGACTGTTAAAGTTTTATATTTCAATACAACCAAGGTGTTTTTTCTAGACGCTCTTTTAAGTTTTTTTACTGAGATAATGCATTTTGTTAGAGTAACAGCTGTGATCATGACAAAAGGAAAAACAAGTACACATTGTTTAAATAGAAAATCCTTCATTTTAATAGAAAAGTGTTGATAAAGCAGTGAGACTCTCCAGTGCAGAACAACGTTCACATAAACAAAAACAAACGATTAAAATATTAAAACATCTCTCTGTGTGATGTGCATTTGTATTAAACAGATAAACAGAAGGGAGGGTGGCAGCTTTTTTTTTTAAATGTCTGCATTCACAAAATACTGATGGTTAAAAACAATAATTTTTAATACTTTAAAATATCAAAAATTTCTTCAAGTAGTCTTTCATCGTTCAACCCTGTGGCTCAATTTGTTGCTGGCTCTGTCACGACAAGTTGCACCGTTTACTGTGTTTTCACACTGATAGTTTAGTTGGAATCCAGGAGCGCTTCACTGAAGGAGTTAATGACACTGAAGGTTTTTTTTTTTTTTTTTTTGCTTTTTTTTTTTCAAAGCAAGGTGGCGACTAAGGAAGTATACCTATGCTTACCTGTAGAAGGAGATCTAAAGCCTCATTTCCATTGCATGCTTCGGCTCAACTCGACTCACTTTTGGCATCAGGTGCTTTCCTCAGTTTTGTTTTTCACAGCTGAGGGCACCCAGTCAGTGTAGGCAGCTGAAATATTATAGTTTTGTCATTTTTGTTAGTTTATTTTGTTGTTGTTTTGTTTTTAGTTGACCATTGTGTAGTTTTGCAGGCTGCCACTTTTTAATATCTGGGTGAAGTGAATTGAAAAACTGTGGTCGCTATTGACGGTAGCTTGGACATTTAAAAATCAAGGGTTTGTACAGAATGTTCTCTCTGACCAATCAGTGGTCTGCAGTGTTTTAACTCCACCACCAAGTATTGGTTCATCTCGCTTGAACCTCGACTGATGCAATACCAGATAAAGTACCAGGTGGTAGACTCGACTTTTGCCCATAGAAAACCAAAAAAGAACGGTTCCAAGTGAGTCAGGTCGAGCCGTATCACGAGTGGAAATGACTCATAACATCAGTGACTCTTATATTATCTTATACACTCAATGTCTTTTTACTTATATAATTTGATTAGGTAGCTCGAGAAGCGCTCTATAAATTAAATGTATAATTATTATTATTATAAAACTCACACAGGAGGAATGTCATGATTGCTACCCAAACAAAACTGAATTCTAAACAGTAAAAAACGCTCATACTTTGCCTCACAGGATGTTTGTTTGTAGGATGAAAATGGAAGAGAAGCATTTTTTATTTTCTTCAGGCAGTTGTGCTTTCTGCAATCGTGCGCACACGGCTGCTGGGCGTAGATTGTTCTCAGTCTTACATGCACACACTGAAGTGGTTTCCCTGAACTGTTTTCTTCACAGATGGTTAACAGGCAAACAATTTCCTCCTCTGTGGACTCTGCAGCTCTCAGTTCCTCTAGATGTCAGTGCGGTTAAGATGCTTGTTCACCAAAGTTGAGCACCACGTAAAAAACTTGCACCAATTTGCTTCACCTCAGTGAGCAAATCCATTGAAGTGAGGTGAATCTGCTACAAAATGTTGCTGTTTTACATGCTGGTGTGACGTCCATTAAAATATTTGTGCTGATTGTTTCCTAAGCCCTGTACCAGCACATCCAGGCAGCCAATACTGGACCAATTCTTCTGTCTGGACATCATCCAGTGTGTGTCTGCGGCACCAGTGCATTAAGTGTCGGTCAGCAGGTAAACAAAATGTGGTAAGATAATGTACAGAGACGTAAGGGAGGTTTTCCAGAGAGTTATGAGCCAATCACAGGCCAGGTTTCCGTCCCCTGAGATCATCAGAAAGTCACTTCCTTTGGTTTGATTCCTCTTACAGGAGTCAGAATGGCGATCATCAATAACTGTCACAGGTGATGCCGCATCCCAGGAAGCTCCAAGGCCCTTAAATTCCCTTTTTATCGATCCTCCATCCATCGCTGAATCTTATCAAGTCTTTAAACTTGTCTGTATTTGTGAAGGCACATTTGGCAAAATAGTTTGAAAAGGCACGTTCAGGTTCGGGTGTGTTCAGGAGGTGTTCACTTGAGACGTTTTATCATCCGTCACGCTCTTGTCAGGTCTGACTTGTTAAGAGTCAGATCAGCTGATCCAGTCTGGACAGATTTCATTGGCCGATGACGTTCAACAGCAGCGCTTACTACTGTTTTTGGACAAATAGGGTTGCCATATTTTCACACACAGCACTCCATCCATCCATCAGCACATGATGTCTCATTAAAACTGTCACACAGTGGTTAGAGGTGATGGTCCGGGTTAGGAAGTGCTCTCTCTTTTGTCATGTTTAGGAACATAGTCCCAGCTGTCTCTCTTGAACTCCTCCTCCTCCTCCTCCTTCTTCTTCTTGAACTCCCTCTTGAAGAAACCAGCCTGAGACACACAGGTAGACAAAGACATGAAGTGATGCTGTTATCTCTACTACAACCATTTTATAAAGTGATATGATATACTGTGCTTTATCTGTAGATCAACTGTAATTTACTGTTATTTATCAGTACAATTAAACTATGGTACAACAACCATTATATTGCAATATACACGCTGTAGTTAATATGTACCATTAAAATGTATAATACTTGAGGTTACCAGTATCTGTGCATTTTTTTGCAATATACTGCAGTTTATCATATGACAATGTTGAGATATACTGCAGTTTCATACCATTAGTACTATGAGTACTATTATATTGCAATATACTACAGCTTATCTATAAATTATATTGCAATATACTCATACCATTATGTTGCAATATACTACTGCTTATGTGAATATTATATTGCAATATACTAATATCATTACATTGCAATATACTAATGTCATTGTATTGCAATATACTAATACCATTACATTGCAATATACTAATACCATTATGTTGCAATATACTAATACCATTATGTTGCAATATACTAATACCATTATATTGCAATATACTAATACCATTATGTTGCAATATACTAATACCATTACATTGCAATATACTAATACCATTATATTGCAATATACTCATACCATTATGTTGCAATATACTTCTGCAGTTTATCTGTACCATTATACTTTGATATGCTGCAGTTGATCAGTATATTATACAACATTATACAATATATTTAATGTAAAAAATTAGTATTTACCTTCCACAGACACCAGATGAGAGCAGCCAGGATCATCAGACCCAAAATTAAACTGATGACGATGATGAAGACCTTCACTGTTGTTGAGGGCTTCTGGGTAAAAACGGCTTCCACCACCACCTGGAATTGTACCACATATACAATATATGATTACTAGGAATAGCTCAAATATGCAGTAGATAGAGGTACAGAAACAGAAACACATTTCCAGGTTGAACTCATGGGTAAGATCAGTCCAGACAGTGGTCTTGTTTAACTCTACAGTTTTGTTGGTTCTTGGTTTTGAGTGGTATCGAGGTGTTTTACCTCTGCTACAGGTTGTTCGTGGATGAGGATGGTGTGAGGACTTTCTCTGGGGTTTGACATCATCGCTGTGCTCTCTATCCTCATGATACCATGACGACCCTGAGATGGAGACATGAAGACAGACATCAGGTTTTTTGAGAGTGTTTTATGGGTGAATGAAATGTTTGTGGGTATTTGTGTTTGCTCCCATTCATACAGGATGCGTTCAGGCACAGTGCTGAATGTAGGTCACCTGCGTTTTGGCAGCATTTCATCTAACATGAAAATGGACTTGAAGCTGAAGCTGAAAACGGTAATCTGTGTGCGTGTCGTGTGTTACCGGAGCTTGCAGAAGTACAGCAGGGTTCAGTTTGATCTCCAGTTGGATGTGGGTGTCTCTCCCCACGTCCAGGTCACCAAGGCGACACACCAACCGCTCACACAAATCATCACTATGGCTACAGAACTACACACACACACACACACACACAGAGAAAATCATCAAAGTGTAATAGAGGTGATGGAGTAATAATTGTTGACTCCAACTTAAACTTCTCAGTTTCTCCACCACAAGTTATTAGCCACAATAGCGGCTAGCATAGCTAAAAACTTCAACAGACTTCATCAGACTTTGGTCACCAACAGGACTGACGAACTTTTCGTGCAACGTGATTAGGTAGTAACATTTCATCCCATATTCACCCTGTAGCCCAATGGACGCACTGACCACTTCTTTTCTTGTGCTACTGTTTAGCAGATGTAAGTTTAAAACCTCTGTCTTTAATTAAATCACTGATTTCATCAATGTCGTCCATTATCAAAATACAAAAGGATGAAAAGTAGCACAAGTATAAATACAAAACAAATTGATGTCAGACGGATAAAGATACCGATCAGAATGAGATTATATAAATAAATAAGATGGCTGGAGTATAGCATCTAGTTACCATGGAAATGGCTGAAACCTTTCGCTAAAGCATAAATCGAAAATGTCACATGGCTCCTCCCATAAATCAGACTTGACTTTACCCCGACAGAATTTAAAGCTCTGTGATTGGATGTTTCCTACAGCAATGCTTTCGAGGACTTAAGTGGACACAGTCTTCTACCAGTGGCTTTTTAACCAATGATGCAGCTGTGAGCATCGCATAATGTAGTTCTGAGAAAATGAATGTGTAGGGCTATATTTAGTGTGTGCGTGTGTGTACCATTCTGCGAGTGGAGGTGGACGAGAAGAAGAAGACAATCTGTTTGATGAAGGAGGCTTCAGGGACGTCGCAGTCCTCAACAACTGACATAGTTGTGTCACTGATCGAACACACACCCTGAGACGTCTGCAGAGAGAGAATTAATACATTATTATTTACCTCTAACATCCACTACTGATGGGTTTAATTTACCCTGACTGTGACTGCTACTGCTAACATCACTACTACTATTACCACAACTACTATTGTACCTCTACTGATACTTCTAATACTACTTCAACCACCACTGCTACCATTACCCAACCAGCAACCACCATGGCCAAAATGAATCAGAAAGTGAAGCCCAGCGCTCGATAATCGAACGTTAACACTTTTTGTGACACTGACTGAAATGTGTCCACAGCACCAAGTGTCAGGAAGCTCTGAGATGTCTAGATCAGATTATTAGTCTTGTATAATTATTCTTTGATGAGATAGATATTCAAATAATTATTTTCCAACATAAAACTATTTATTTATTTTGACGATTGTTTTGTTAAATGAATTTTTTTTTTAAAAAGCTGTCCATATTTCTTAAAGAGATGTACTGAAAAAATCATAAATGGTGAAGCCTGACATCTGCAGGTGAAAGTGGGAACTGAACCATTGGTTTAATTACTTTTATTGCTGCAGTTCGTCTAATGGCCACTAGATGCTGCTCCAAAACATTCTGACTGTTTTCAAATAAATGACAAAATCACTAAATTTCTCTCTAGAAATACTAAGTCATTTTGTTCACAGTGGATGACATCACTTCCTCTACTTTGAGTCTGAGTGAGGAATCACCATTAAATTACATTATATGACAGCTTATTAAAAGTTATTCAGCGACATGTTTTCCAAAATGTCATGTGTATCATCATCACACTCAGCCATGGTTTTTGTTGGTTACTAATCCCACCCTAGGCTAAAGCCCTTTTACCCAAGAATGGTTTCTCTGTTTCTGGCAGAGGTTCAGATACATAGGCCCAGATAACCTGCAACACAGATTCATGTCGGTTTATATGTGTATGTAATATAACTATCATCATGTTGACCTTATTTCCAAGTAACTGACAAAGATGACAACAAGAGGTAAACTCAAACACCAGCTATTGAAATGTCATCTTCAGACACCTGTGACAAACCACATAGATGCTACACATAGTTTTATACTGACAGAGCCACTTCTACCTCTGTTACAATTTCCAGTGTTACTGCTGTTCTGTTAGTAGTACTGGACTGGATGTACCTGCCAGTCGACCACCTGCAGCAATCTGTGTCGGTAAGGTGCGAGCATCTTCGGTAGCATGATGTCAACCACAGTATCTAGAGACCTGCTGGGACCAGAGTTTAACACCTGCAAATACAGAAACAACAGATACACCAGAAGAGATCAGATTTGACTTCTTACCTACTGGATTCGCTCACTTCATGGCATAATATCTTTGCAAAGGACCAACTATGGGACCAAACTCTGCTGGGTTTATATTTGGCTGCCACCAGTAGCAAAAACTGGAGTTTATGGACTGAAGGAGCACTTTTCAGTTGGCCTCAGGAGTTTTGACAAAGCATTACACAACTCAGGAAGTGGAAGCAGAGCATTTACAGGCTGTTTAAAGCAGCAAAGGAGAGCTGCTGACCTTTACTGGGCGCAGAGCATGGAGGTGAAACAAGGTTCTGTTTAAACAAACCTAAAGGAACTTGTGAACCAGACTGACATTTACCTTGTATGTGTAGTTGAATCTTTCAGGGTAGCAGTCAACTGGAGTCGTGTCTTCATCTCCAAACACAAAGGAAGTGGGAGTCACAAATCTGCAAGACAGACAGACACAGACAGACAGACAGATGTCAGTGGTGACTGGTGATTATTTACCTGAAATGGGGCTACAGACACTGAGGGCTTTCACACTAACAATATTGCTGTCTAGCTTGGTGCGCTACCAGGCTTTTCACACTGGACTTTGCCCACACTGGCACAATCCTGACATATATATAATTTGTCTCTTTTCTCATCAAGCAGAAAAATCCGCAAGAAAACAAAACAAACCTTGGACTTCTACATTCATTCCTGTTATTCATGATAAAAGAAATTCTCCTAACTTGGTTGTAATATGTTGCTGTATTGTTTAATGCTTCTATGATAGTAATAGTAATGACAGTGTACAATAGTGCTTAAAAGGTTACCTATCTTGTTATTGACCACTTCTTTCTTGTCTCTTTGTCTCCATCTGTTGGACTGGACAAGTGGAGCTGGGAGCAGCTAATAATGTGATAATGTATAGGTGTGTCCTACTAGGCTACTGTACAACAATGTAAAAAGAAAGAAGTTGATAAAGTCGGAGCCAAAACTACTGCAACTGACCAGCTGCCACTGACAGTCCTACAGTCAGCGAGAAGCCACTCAACAGTTTTATCTGCAGCATCTCCACATGTCCAACATCTTTTAAAGTCTTCTTAAAATATATATGTTTATAAAAAATATTCAGAGAGGGGAAAGTGTACATGTATGGGCCATTGCAATGCTTTCTTAGTGTTCTGTCAGAGCTGAAATTTCATCTGCTATATTCAATAATCATCTCACCAGAGTGGTCATTCTGGGGAAGGAGAGGTCAGGTTCTTTATATAACAGATCAGATGCTGCCAGTTGCTATTAAATTTGTCTGTCGAGCCCCTTACGGAAAATTTCATCTTTTCCAACTCCAAGAAAGCCATGAAATAGGAGATGGGGCAGCGATTTCTTCCGCAAGCGTATTCTCCAACAGACTATTAAAGAGGTAAATCAGACTATGTTTGCTTGTTTTTTGCATCAAAAAAGGAAAAAATGATCCGCACACCGATAGAGCTCCCATTAATCCATGATTTATTTTCTGTCAAGTGACGTTTCGAGCAATGCAGGCTCCTCCTCAGACTTGTAAAGATGCTCAAGCAATGCAGGCCCTTCCTCAGACTGAGGAAGTCTGAGGAAGGGCCTGCGTTGCTCGAAATGTCTCTTGACAGAAAATAAATCATGGACTAATGGGAGCTCTATCAGTGTGCAGATCATTTTTTCCTTTTTTGATGCATGTTAGAAGTTTATGATCCAGCACCCTTTCAATATTTCTTTGGGATGCGCGTGTTATTATCTTTTTTCTGAGATTTGCTTGTTTTCTGGACACTTCTCTGCCACTTTCAGGTACATCAAATATAGCAATCTGTGGGGCAGGTTCTCTTACTTGTTCTAATATTACTGGAATAATTCTGACTCCAACATGACCAAAACATATGAGTGAGATTGCAATGACACTGGGAGCATCTGTCAGAGTATCAGCCATATTTGGTTATATCTCAGCAAGTTGAGCGCTGACTCACCCGTGGATGTTGACGTTGACTCCGTATTTCAGAGGAAGGAGGAGACTGGCGGAGTTGTCATGGAGATACTCCTCCCTCTCATAGTTATCACTGAAAACAGATTAAAAACATTTAATACAAGATCGAACATTTTGATAAGTTTGTTTTACTGTGAATGATTCTGTACTTTTACTTAAGTTAAAATTGTTCCTTTCTTTCCTTCTAGAGAGGAAGGGGTGTATCCTCACCTGCTGGTGCTGACATGAATCATGATGTCACCAGGTGTGCTGTTTTGGTTGACGTCCAGTAGGAAGCTGATATTCAACTACAACAAAAAGGAAATGTGTGAGTGTGTGATTTAAATGGTTTTAATGACTGACAGCTGCAGGACGATCACTTTCCCTCCATCTTCGTCTTCTTTCAGAGTCTAAATTAGTTTCAAATGTTTTTATTGTGAAGCAGCTTTCAAATGTACAAGGTACAGACTGTGTTCACATGCTTCTTTTCCAAATGAAAAAAATAGAGGTAGGAAAACAGTACAATCGTACCGCACCATCATTCTCCATAACAACAAAGAAAACATGAGAAAAATAAGAATAAAATATAAAATAAAATAAAATAAAATAATAATCAAACAATTTCAAGAAATGAGCACACACACAAAATAATCCCTCCCAGGGCTGCTAGGGTCCTGTGTCTCCTGCTAGGTGGGAAACCAAAGGATGCCAGATCTTATTAAAATCTTCCTACTTATTATTGATTGCAAATCGGATTCTTTCAAGGTGAGTGTGTCCATTAGGTTTGTGATCCACATTTTCAATGCTGGGGTTTCTTTATCCTTCCAAAATAGTAGAACTAATTTTTTTGCAATAAGAAGTCCATATGCTACGAATTGTCGTTGAGGAGGCATTAACTTCTTTATGTCCTTGGATGATCCAAAAATTATCGAAATTGGATCTGGGTTTATCTTGACTGCAAGTATTTTGGACATCCAGGTGAATATGTCAGTCCAGAATCCCTGTAATTTTGTACAGAGAGCATAACTGTGCAGCAGATTCCCTTCTTCCAAACTGCATTTGTCGCACAGCGGGGAGACTTCTGTGAAGATTCTGTGAAGCTTTTCCTTGGAATAGTGTAATCTATATATTATCTTAAATTGGATGAGACAGTGATGTGCATTTATAGAACAGGTGTGGATGTATGCTAGGCTCTCTTCCCAAATGTTCTTTCAGAGTCTAAATTATGCTCATTTTAAACTACAGCTGTCAACATATTGAAGGAAATTCCTTCTTGAAAGTGCTGCTCTGTCTGTTTCTGAGGGGAACTAAGACATTTAAGCAGTACATTTCACAATAATTACTCAGAAAAAACAACTGAGATATCGGAAATAAAGCAAATATCTGCTGATGAGACAAAAGCTGGAGAACAAAAAGTGCAGACACACTGGCTCAGTTATTCAAGTCCTCCTCAGGATGAATTACATCTGACATCTGATCTAGCACAATCATCAGGTCCAAATTTTTCGGATATTTCGGTTTGCCATCAATGACCTAAAGAACTAACAACATTCCTGTCAGCATCAGCTGCTGTTAGCAATTAGCTCTAAGTATCGCTGTGCCTCACAGAGTGGCTAACATGGCTGGAGACTCTGATATAAAACAATTTCAAAAACAGTGTGTGTGATTGACCGAGGCTTACCTGGGCGTGGGCTGAGAGGACGAGGCTGGTGATGCTGCAGTCAACACCTGCCTTTGTACTGTTGACTTCCTGTGTGACATCACAGCTGACCACGTTGTCCTGCTGCACGCACACAGACACACAGGCAGTTTGTTTAATGAGTTATTTGTGTTAAAGTCATAACACTTCACATTTATATGAAATCAAACCGTGTTATTGATACTATTTATGGTTGTATTTTTTATAGCAATAGCCATTCAGTTTATTTACATAATTAACCTTCTATATAGTAGTTTTTATCTTAACTGTGTCCTGTTGTTGTGGTAAAAACTACCTGCAGCATGAAATCAGTTTGACATGTCTCTTGGCATGATGGGAAAAGGCAAATTAGCGGCTGGCTTCTTTATTAAAACAATGTGAGTTTGTTTGGCTGCACTGTAACAGATACATCAGCTGCGCTTCTGTTGTATTTTTGACAAAGTAGCTGCCTAAGGATTGTTTGCAGCGTGTTCATAAACTCACGTTCTGCAGTACTTTAATGTAGTGGACGTTGTTGGGGAAACGTAACGTCAGTCGTGGCAGGAAGGCGTCGTCTCCAGAGTTCAGCACCGAGGTTTTCAACATGATGGTCTGTCCAGAGCCGAGAGGAAAGTACTGCTGCTGACTGATGACAAACAACAACAAAATAAAAATCAACAACAACATTGATGTTCAACTCATAACCAACATGAAAATACAGCTGCTCACTAATGACAATAACAAACACCAGGGCTGGGCGATAAAATTGATTTGAACATTAACCTCTGCAGAAAACTTTCCCCAATCACATCAAAGAAATAAAGGCTAGCACTGATAACAGCACTGCCAGTAGTATTTCAACAACCATATTGCTTTAAAGGAACAGGGTAACATTTTTAAATCTGCTTATTTGTTTACTTGATGAGAGTTAGATGAGAAGATCAATGCCGCTCTCATATCTGTACATTAAATAAGCTGCAGTCAGGAGACGGTTATCTTAGCTTAGCACAAAGACTGAAAACAGGGGGAAACAGCTAGCCTAGCTCTGTCCATTGTTTAGAAATACACTTACCAGCACCTTTAAAGCTCACTAATTAACACATTGCATCATGTTTGTTTAATCTGTACATGAACAGAAATGTAAAAACAGCATTTTGTGGTTTCCTGTAGGTGTTTTTTTTTTTCAAGGCTAGCTGTTCCCCCTGCATCTAGTGTTTATGCTAGCCTAGGCTAGCTATGTCCTGACACCTGCTCCATACTCAGACATGAGACTGATATTTATGTCTTCATGTAATTCTCACCAAGAAGAGCGAATGAGCATTCATTCATTCATTCATTCATTTTCTGTAACTGCTTATCCTGTTATAGGTCGGGGGGGGAGCTGGAGCCTATGCTAGCTGACATTGGGCAAGAGGCATGGTACACTCTGGACAGAACAGGTGTGTGTGTGTGTGTGTGTGTGTGTGTGTGTGTGTGTGTGTGTGTTCTTACTGTGGTAGCACTAGTTGAGCCGACAGCTGCATGTTGGCCGAACAGTTCACCAGCGAACAGGAACGAGCGAACCAAGTCTGACAGAGAGAAAGAGGCAGAGTTTATCGATGACGTCCATAATGAATGGTGCAATAGGAATTTCCCTCATTGATAACATTACAAACTTCTCCCATGACCTCTGACCCCAGCCTTACAGACGATGAGTAACATCCTGGTGAATAACTCCTGCTGTAAATTCCTACGTTAACTTGTCCTGCTTTGTTATCATGAGTCAGTGGGACGTGCTGTGGACACAGGATGATCTGACTGATGTTGGTTAATGTGCTGCAGCTGTAAACACATCTGGGTTAGCAGGAAGTCATTTTCAATGTGGTGGAGCTGACATCAGATTAGCTGTTTCCTGCCCTTTAACACAGATCGGCTTGGTGATGGACAGACAGATCTGACAGTGAAATTGCTCCAAAAGGAAACTAATGGGTTAGTTATTATAATTCTGATTTTAACTCTGATAAGAGGACCACAGTGCAGTGCTTTAGTAATGGTGGTAGTAGTACAAGTATAGGCTAATATCAATTTCTGGTTAATCCTCAGTACACAGCATTCCTATAAAAACTTCATACTTAATAAATAATAACGAAAGAGTTCATACAAGATGTTAAAACTCTGGGCAGTTACAAAGAGTTAGGTTTTCAAACATGTACCCTACATCACAAGTTTAAGACTTTAGACTGGTTTCTGGCTTTAAGAGAGAGTAACTCATGTTCACAAACACTGAACTTTCCAAAGCCATCGAAATAACATGTTAGAGTTATTAATTTAGGTGGCGTTCCTCTTTAATACGTACTTATTTTTCTAACTGTTTTTTCTCTTCTACAACTTTAGCTGGTGTTAGCATTAGATGGTACCCTGTTGGTGTTACTATTAGGGGAACTGCCCATTGGTCTGACATCCCATTGTTCCGACCATATTAACCCATTGTTCCGAAGTCCGTTCCAAAATCATCATGATGCCCTGTGGTTAAGGTCTGGTTAGGTTTAAGCACAAAAAACACTTGGTTAGGGTCAGGAAAAGATCATGGTGTGGGTTAAAATGAAAAAGAAAGATCACATAAGCTGTGAGCCTGCTTCACCTCAAACCGTTCGTGGTGCACCATACGCCCGCCGCAAGCCATTCAGCACCGCAGACAGTCAGACTGATGGGATGTCGAACCAATGGGTTGTCGAACCAATGACATGGACCCACTATTAGCTGGTGTTAGTACTGGTTTGTACCTGGTTGGTTTAGCTGTAACTAGCTTGTGTTAGCACTGGTTGATACCTGGTTGGTGTTAGCACTAGCTGTAAATAACTGGTGTTAGCACTGGTTCACACCTGATTGGTTTAGCTTTAACTAGCTGGTGTTAGCACTGGTTCACACCTGGTTGGTTTAGCTTTAACTAGTTGATGTTAGCACTGGTTGATATCTGGTTGGTGTTAGCACTAGCAGTAAATAGCTTGTGTTAGCACTGGTTGATACCTGGTTGGTTTAGCCCTAACTAGCTGATGTTAATACTCGTTGATACCTGGATGGTTTAACTGTAACTATGGGAACTGCCCATTGGTCTGACATCCCATTGTTCCGACCATATTAAACCCATTGTTCCAAAGTCCCGTTGTTCCGAAATCATCATGATGCCCTGTGGTTAAGGTCTGGTTAGGTTTAGGCACAAAAACCACTTGGTTAGGGTTAGGAAAAGATCATGGTGTGGGTTAAAATGAAAAAGAAAGTGACAAACACATAAGCCGTGAGCCTGCTTCGTCTCAAGCCTTTCCCAGCTGACCCAGAGCCAGTCGCGGTGCACCATCAAGGTAGAAATACGCCCGCCGGGAGCCGTACACCGCGGACAGTCGGACTAATGGGATGTTGGACCAATGGGCTGTCGGACCAATGACATGGACCCATAACTATCTGGTGTTAGCACTGGTTGGTACCTTGGTTGTTTAGCTGTAACTAGCTGGTGTTAGCACTACTTGGTGCCCTGTTGGTGTTAGCTGGTAACTAGCTAGTGTTAGCACTGATACCTGGTTGGTTTAGCTTTAACTAGCTGGTGTTAGCACTACTTGGTGCCCTGGTGTTAGTTTTTTGCTGGTAACTAGCTGGTGTTAGCACTGATACCTGGTTAGTTTAGCTTTAACTAGCTGGTGTTAGCACTAGTTGGTGCCCTGGTGTTAGTTTTTTGCTGGTAACTAGCTGGTGTTAGCACTGATACCTGGTTGGTTTAGCTGCAACTATCTTGTGTTAGCACTGGTTGGTACCTGGATGGTTTAGCTGTAACTATCTTATGTGAGCACAGGATGGTACCTGGATGGTTTAGCTGCAACTATCTTGTGTTAGCACTGGTTGGTACCTGATTTGAGATGGTGTTCTGGTGTCCTGCGCTCTGCTGCAGAATGGGTTTTAATGGAGGGAAGTTTTTGGTTCTGTGGGTGCTTGTTTCTCTGTGACTGTAGGAAACTTCAAACCGGACCGGAGTAAAAATGTCCCTCACGTCCTTCTGTAGGAGAAAGAAACAGGAACAGAGGAGGAACAAGCACTGTTGGCATCATTGGGGTAATCCAAACACTTATTAATATGTTGTTACTTCAATATTAAACTTATTCACTGTATGTTTTTTGCGTGTGTGTATGTTACCCTTTGGTAAGCCACGTGTGTTGTACAAGTGAGCTGGCCATGTCGTGCTCTCACGTGCCCCTTTGTGCTATTGGATGACCCGTTACCATGGAAATAGAAACGATGAGGAAAGGATGGTTTATGGAGGAGGTCAGAGGTCAAATTATATTGAAGATCTGAAAAGGAGAGGAACAAGGTAATATCAGTAGGTAGGTCGTACACTCTTATGAACAATATAACTGTTCTGCCATTTGCTAAACCCCTCCCCCAAACAGCGACTGGCTTAAGCAACCGTAAATAGGCACAGAAAGCGTTTCTCTACATGTTGAAGCTGTGACTTAGGACAAGGTCCACGGTCCACCCGGCACCCTAACTTGGGCCAGATTTGGCCTCGGGGTTTGAGCTGAGTATCAGTGACCAAGAGTTGTGTATACTGGACAATTGTGTTTACAGTACCTATAGCTCCTCTGAAGTGTCTGGACTTCACACTGAAGCAGACAGTAACTTTAAGGCAGACAGTTGGAGTCTTGTGTTCGTGGCACAGCGCCACCCGCTGGTCAATCTGCTCGGGCAGAGTCAGAAACGCCTTCACCTGAATCACGGGTCGGGTCCTACAGCACACAGGACACATTCACAGACATTATTACAGCATGTCAACTGGACTGAAATACAGTCCAAATTCAAATCAGGGTTTTATTATTTACAATCATTATTCTGCTTCTAGAAAATCTTTTTAAAGATTCTTAAAACACAGATTTCCATTCACAATATTTTCAGCAGATGTTGGGAAACTTTAGGGTTTTCTCATTGTGGGATGTCCCGTTCCCCCTGCAGTATAATTTCCTTCTAAATCAGCTAAAATAAGGAAGCCTCCTTCCTGTATCTTTGTATGAAAGGAGACAGGACTTCCTGTTGGAACAGAAAGCTTCAGGGTGGTTTTACCTGAGAACCACAGCCGAGTCCGAGAGGAAAGCACCGACCGCCACATCTGCAGAGAGACAGAAAGAGACACAGTTTTAAATAGTGTTTAAATGTACAATATGGTAGATGTTGTGACTTAGGAAGCGGTAATTCAGGTTACCGTGGTAGCCGTTAGCATCAATGTCAATGCCAGAGCTCAGTGACTGGCCGAACATCCTGAGGTCACGACCCAGTGTGGATCCGGTAATCCTCTAATAAACACACACACATACACACCATGTTGGACATCAAAGAACAGAATAAGTACTGAAACTTAATTTTGGGACTCAAGAAAGTCAGTCCTGATTAAATTTAATATGAATATTCCTCATGATGAAAATCAAGTCAGGGGATGGTCTGTTTATTTCATATATTCATTGTATTTACTAATTCACCCCTCTCTTAATACAGGCTCCAATATAAAACCACAGAGGACTGATCATTATCATGAAAGTTATACAATACATTTTCTAATTCCCCAACCGAAGATCTCATTTAGCTAAGTGTTCCCATGAAATGAGAATGTTTTTTGAAAAGTGCTTGATTAGTAAGTGCATTTTTATTGTTATTGTTGTTAAATGTACCTGAGATGGAGTTGGTGAGATGCCCTCCTTCCTGCCGTTGTAAATGTAGACGGCTCCTTTTAGCTCGTCTTCCTGTGGGGCACCAACCGCCACATCTACACACACACACACACACACACAGAAGTTTACATTACTGTATTAGTGAGGATGTTTGTGGTCTCCCTTCACTAACCCATTAACCTGCCCTCAATCTTTCACCTACAGATTGATTTCCTTCCTAACAGGCAGCTTTTAGTTTACGTTGCTTCTTTTACTGACATTTCAGAAACTTAAAACTTGCTGCAGGTTGTTATCCAATAAGTGGGTAATTGATCCTCTGAGTGGTCAGGTCCAAACTTTCTGAGGAGTGTGTGTGTTGGGGAGGCCCTGCTGGGAAATGTTTAGCAGGATGAAAGTAAATAAACATGAGAAAACACCAGCATGGTCTTTTAATATTTAACCTGAGGCCTTTAGAGATGTGCAGGTCTGAAAGGCACGCTGGTGTTTTTTCTTCAAAGAGAGAGCTACTGGAACACACACACACACACGCATGCACACGCTGCCTTTTATCTAGCTGTGGCAGATTAGAAGGAAGGTTCAGTTAAAGAGCAGCAACAGTTTGTCATTACAGTTTTAATGGACTTAATGACACACTCCACCCCTCACACACACACACACACACACGCACGCAGATGGTGAGGGGTCTGCATGTGTGAGGGCGTTGTGTTAAAGTCAGTGATGTTAGTTATCAGGAAGTAGCAGTTACTGTTGGTGGGGGTGGGTTGTACCCCCTTGGCAAGAAACCTAAATTCACAAACAAATACAGCATGTGTTTTTGGGTGTTCAGTGCAGTAGCAGTCATCGCAGTATTGCAGTAGTATTAGGAGTATTGTGTGGTAATTCGTGAGGCAGAAAGCCAAAGAGCAGCTCTTAAACTTCCATCTTTACCACTGCTGAGATACAGTGGCAGCAGTAGTGTAAGTATTATCAGAAGCAGTATTAGCAGTAGCACAGTAGCTGTATGCAGAAGGTTGCTGTTGTAAGTAAGCAGTATTTATTTATGATAGCAGAAGAAGTATTGCAGTGCGAATAACAATGGCAACTGTTATAGTGTTGTCAATGGAATTAGCAGCAATAGTATTGGTAGTGCAGTGTGTACTTGAAGTGATCTCTCCAGAATAAAAGCTGACAGGTGTGGTCATTACCAGAGTAACCGTCGTCATCCAGGTCTCCCAGGTCAGCGATGGTCTCTCCAAATCGAGCAGCGTAGGCATTATTACCAGTCAGCTGAAACTCCGCCTCCAACAGGTTAGCCTGAGGCAGAGTCAGTTTGTGAGGAAACAGACGACACAAACTTTGACTAAATAGTCTTTCTCACATGAGTATGAAATTAGTGTGTAGTATTGGTTAAGGTTTCCTCATAATAAAATCAGTTGCACAAAGCACACTTAAGTCTTCTCCCTAAGGTTTCCTTAAGATGTTCACTTAAGTATTTATGGTTCAAGAAAAACTTAAGGCACCTCTGACTCTATCTTGACTGCAACGTGACCGAGATTATGGTGATAAATAAAAACACTAATCTCTTTCAACGCAGTAAATAACTTAATGTTTGTCCTTAACAAAGGAAACCATTTAAGGGATTCTGTGCAACTGTGTAAGTCCCTCAGCTAAGCCTCAAGCGTCATACTTAAGGACAAAACGTATGGTTGCTGATCCTAATGTCTGCCATGTTGACTCCACAGAGAGATCCCACATTAATATGCACTACTTTGTGTTAAAATAGTGTGTGGACTCACCTCCCCCTGGTTGATGTACACATGGACTCTTCCCTCCTCCCTGGTGATGCCCGTTGCCATGGGAGCGCCGACCAACAGATCCGACAAACCATCAGCGTTCAGATCCACCACACACACGCTGGAGCCAAAGTAAGATCCCAGCTGCACAACAAAGACATGCGAGCTAAGTGCTAAGCATTCCATTGTTCTGAATGGAGGATGCTAATGCTAAATGGCTTCTCACCTCTTTTCCGGACACTTCAGCGACGACCCGCAGCATGTTGCTGTCTACTGCGAAGATGAAGACCTGCACAGCACAAGGACACACACTAACTTCAACCATCACAAGTATTTCACACAACACACATCATCAAAAACTTAGTAACAACTCAACTGTCACTTAACACCATCAAGAAGAAGTGAGAGTGAGACCAACTGTCTTAATGCTACACACACAAACAACCACTTAGACTTTTAGTGCAGTTACTAAACAGACAGACAGGTAGACACACAGACAGGTGGCTCTTACCTTGCCCCTCTGGTTGTATTGCGGAGCTCCACCCACGACCTCCACAGAGGAGGGACCCAGGAAATGACCAGCTCCAACAGCGTAACCTGAACAGCAGCAAGACACAGTGTCAGAGACTTTTGCAGTTGTGGAGAGTAATTAAATACATGAACTAGTAGTAGTTAGGAAATACTGCACTTCTACTAAACCACTGATTCTCTAACTTTTTGATTGGTGTGACCTTTTACAAAAACATTGTGTCATTGGGAGAAGTAGTTTCAGATGTCTATGATTTCCACAAAAGAGACATTTCCTCTCTTAACCTCTAACATATTTTCCTTTACATAGTTGTTGAGGTCAAACTATGCATTGCTTCACAAAAAAGCAAAGGGCAGAGGAATGTCTTAAAAATAACATGACTTTCACTTTTGACACAGTATGCTGATAACACTTCTGTACTTTTATTTAAAGGCCTAGCGTGTAGGATTTAGTGGCATCTGGCATTGAGGGTTGAAGATTGCAATAAACTGAAACGGCCCATGCAGAAACGTGCATTGCTTTATCTAGAGTCTAGAGTTGGTTTCACCATTTTGGGCTACTGCAGAACAACATGACGAACGATTCTGTATGTAGATATAAAAGGCTCTTTCCAAAGCCCAGTTCAGACCAAAGATTTGCGACGAGACGGTCAACAGTCAATCGACTTGTAGTGAAGTCTGCTGGTCAAGTCAAAATGACCACAGACGGTGTGTGGCGTATTTAGTGTGATGCTCATTTTCTGTTTTTCGATGTTTCATCACTACAAATGCAGCTGTAGCCAGTATCTCACTATCACTATCCTCATTCATGTTTTAAGAAGCTACAAATTATATTCAGCCACAAAATAAACCTCAAAAGCTGCAAATCAGAACAGAAGTACAGAGAGTTGTTGCATAGAGATGATACACCATCTCATCTAGTTGCAATGGTGTGAACCAGCAGGTTTTTAGAACGTTGCAGAACGGCGCATTGCAAGTAGCTGCCTGTTTCAATTTGTCTTGTCGTGAATCTTCAGTCTAAACTGGGCTTAAGATAACGAGCTGATTATAAACTACTGAAAACATATTATATTCCATTTCTGCCAATATATCCAACCGAATCCTACAAACAGTTTGTTTTTGTTCTGTTTTGTTTTACAAACCAGGTATAATGTGTTAATTGCAGGTGTTAGTAGGTGATTTTTGTTCTATATTTTTTTTAGAAAGATTTTATTGGGTACATCACACTGACAATGACAAAATAAAGTTTCAAAAATTACAACCACTACTGAATAACACCAATGTGGCCAAAAAGGTTTTTGGTTAGGGTTATGGTTTGACATCTTGTGGTTATGGGTGAAGAAACTGAATGCAAGTCTGTGCAAAAAACAAGTGTGTGTGTGAGAGAGAAAAAACGCACAACCACAGTTTTCAAATGTGTTCAAGCTGTACTTCCGTCTTAAATGTCTGCCGTTACTTTCTGTCAAATTGTGCTGATAAGTTAAATCCTGCACACACACACAACACAGACTCAAAACAATATTTTGCGCTCGATGTTGGTGTTATTTGAGCCTCATTTCATCAGTCTTGGTGTGTTTCTTCCAATATGTTGTAAACATTGAAAATGTTTTCACAGCTTCATCTGAAGAACATCACACCTTTCTTCTCAGCTTCCTGTTTTCAGCACAAATACTGAGAGATGATGGGGTCATGGCGACACATGTTGAAATGCACTTACATAACCTCTTCATTTCTGTCTGTCTGCAGTGAAGTAGTTTCATAAATGTCATGCAATCCAGGATTCTTGAGTCAGGATTAAAATAAAATTGACTCTTGGTCATTTACACACGGCAAGCAGAATTTTGTAACTTAAATGTAAGATTTTTTAAATTCAGGACCTGCGAATACATGTGAACGTGTTCAGGACAAAAAGTCAAGAGGGATGAGGAGTCAATGTGAGACAGCACAACTGCAGCTGAATCTTGAATGATTCCCCACAAAGTCAGAACTGAAACTGAGATAAGAAACAAATGCACGATAAGATGAACTGTGCCTTTTCACTTCACAAGAACTCCACGTCATCCAATTAAAAACCTCTTTAAGCTGCAGTTGTATTGATCCCTGATGTTTTTCAACAGGGGCGGCAATGTTCATATTCATGCAGAGCTGAGCCACAATCAACCATGTCGGTTTAGGTCACACTCTACACAGCATGTGTGGTTTTTCACAGGTCGACCACATCTTCATTTATAGCTGTTTTTTCCTGTACTACTTCTCCCTGCAATACCGAAAACTGATCCGCTGACCAAATGGTGCAGAAAGTGTGTCTTGTGCCTATTTTTATTGAACAGCACTGCAGATAAAGCACTATTTAATCCTGTTGACAAATGCATCGCCTGTCTTAAAAATGGTTCATAATAAAAGCCTCCCAGTGGTTTGCTGGTGAATGCTTTTCATGTGAAGCAGCAGAAAATGTTTTGTTTGCAGATACTTGAGATTGTGTTCAGACCGACATCAGCGCCCTGTGAAAAATTTGTCTTCTCACTCTTTCAGTTAAAAGTAAAAAGTTCCTTTTAACATTAGCATGATGGCTGCAGCATTTGAGCAAATAAACAAAAGTCCAAATTTGTTGATCTATACTTGCGTACAGTTGGACTTGATATAAAGTCAACAGCAGAATTCCTGAGCTATCCTTCACCTAATTAATTGACAAGTGAATTTATTCAGGGATTGCGCTCTGGATGGTCATTAAATCAAAATATGTTTTGAAATCTATCAGTGATGCAGCATGTGAGAGGACAGAAAATATTCGTCTTTCTTTATTGTCAGTAAACTTTTCAAGTCAGTGCTGTTTCATGTGCAAGGTGCCAAATATTGTGAAAGCATGGTGAAGTGAAGGGGAGGAATCTGATTGTCTAATCTGACAAGGCTCTATCCAGCTGAAACCCATCACAACCAGTCTACACAGGATGTTTAGTGAAAGCAGCTCATCATCAGCATAGCAGCAGCAGCCTGAGTCTTTCATGAATACACAGGAAGCATTCAGCCACAGTACTGCTGTGGGCTCAGTGGCATTTAAAGAAACCAGTGTATCTGATTACTCAGAATCACGTGAAATGGACTTTTAAAAACTGTGAAAACTTCATCCTGTGTAGACAGAGTGTCAACAGTTAATCTGTGTATCTGCCGCTGTAACATACTTAAAATCAAAAATCAAAAATAATATGTGAAACGAGTTCATCACACTACAGGAAAATGTGTTATTAACCAGTCAAAATTAAGTAGATAAAAGGAGGTTTTATAATTGTGAGAAAAAATGAGCAGTACTCTCTGCTTTGATGCTTTTGCATGTCCACTAAAGAAGCCAAAACGAAGATCATGCCGCTGCAAGCGACAGACTCTCGTTAGCAGATAACTTAGTAGCGCAGAGTACACACACGTGCAGCAACAGACTTTTGTTAGGTTCGGTTTTGTTCGGTTTAATCAAACTCAAGTTTGCCCCCTAAGTGATGTTCGTTTGGGCAGGTGTGAACAAAGCAATCACACTCAGGTGCGCACCAAAACAAACGGATCGAGACCTTCTTGAAGAGGTGGTCTCAGTCTGGTTACAAACGAACTCTGGTGCAGTTCATTTGTGGTGAGAACGTGTTCCGACCTGGATCTGAACCAACTGCAGTCACATGACACATTGTTTGGGTTAAACATGAGCATGTTACAGTCCTGGAGGATTATTAATGTGCACCTCCTCCTGTACTGCCTTAATATGCACATTCAGCACATCCAATGCATCAAAACATTGTTTTCTAGTTGGAGCCGCGCCTCGTTTTCAAACTGTATGATTTGACTAAAATGAACAATGACAGCAATATAGTCCACGATGAGCAGCGCTAAAATCAACCTGCGTAGTTGTCCCTCCATTGTGACATTAGAAAGTGTCACATTTATCTTGCAAGTGTACTCTTCTTCAACGTTTGCTTTACTTCCTGGATTTTTCCCACATGGAAATTCTGACCAATCATCAATCAGGCATTTGCACTGCGCAAGGCATTGAGCATAACAGTTACCCAGGTAGCTTCCAAAGCTGACGGCTCCAGTGTCTTCATCCAGGTACACAGACATCCCTCTGCTAGACGTGTTGAAGACCAGAACTGAACCAGTCCAATAGGACGTCCCTGGAGCCCCCATGATGATCAGATCCTGAGAGAGAGACAGGCAGATAAAGTTTCTATGATATAATGTGACCTACATCTCTATTTAAGATCTACTATATCTCTTACACATGAAACCTCTCATAAAATTATCACATCTGCTACATTTGTCGCTTTTAATAGAAATTTTCACACTCAACACAGGAAGTTAAAAGTCTTTGTTCTCTTTTTTAAAATGGTGACAATGAACTCCTGCAGTTCAACAGCACGAGGAGGAACAAGAACCAACGTGTGCATGTACTGAAGTTATACATAAGACATCAGCCATGGATCATATTCAGTCTGCTGGTGGAAACATTGAAGACAAACAGGATTTTAAAAGGAGCTTACTGACCTCTGTCAGGAAGTTGGAAATACCGGCCTGACATGACCCATAATCCTCACCGAATTTCCTTTGGTGGTCTGTAAGAGACAGACGGAGACAAACAGAAAAGTTGAGAGGTGAAGGTGAACAAACAAATAGGAAGATAAAACCCAAATGTTGTTTTTTTTTTTGCTAGGGTTGAACAGCTGCTGCATTCACACACAAAAATGAAAGGCTGAGACATTATCCCAAATTCAAACATGCGAGAACGTCCTCACTTTTCAAAAATGTCTTTCAAGGGTCTCTGTTTATGTAGTCACAAGACATTTTGATAGTGACACATTATTTGGGGGGATAGTCATATTTTTATAACACCAATGTACTATAATGTGCTTGTGTGTACCTCTGTAGCAGGGAATGATGGGTTGGGCATTTGTCAGGTCGCTGCTGTAGCGATAACACACTCCGTTAGGCAGCTTGTGGTTCTGACCGTCCTTCTTTGAGTAGAAGACGTTCTTCCAGCGGTGAGCACATGCCTAAACACACACACAAACACACAGCATGCAAACAACATGTGACATGGACTCATTAGTGACAATAACACAATCACAAGTTAGCACCCGAGTGTCGTTATTCTCATGACCCATGTCACTGTGACAGAGGCTCTGTTTGTGTGCGTGTGTCGAACATGATCAGCCCTGTTGTGTTTTCATTTGTAACCCTAATTTTTTACTCACTGTGTAACGGAGACGTTCACAATGAGTAGGCAGCTGCTGTAAACAACTTAGCTTGATCACATACTTCAAGGCCTTTTTTAGAAACTGAGATCTGGCTGGTAGAAGTGATGCTACCTTTGAGGTTTTCAAACAGAGCTCTGCTGCGTACATGTTCCATAACGGCTTTATTCACACATGATAAGACCAGTGTGGACGGAGCTACAGATTTGCTGTGTCACTGTTGGAGAGCAGTGCTGAGTTGTAAAGTATAAATATAAAGGAAGAAGTGTTCTCACTTCTTTGGCACGCTTCCTCACTGATGAACTTATAAACTTACTCTGCAGTTGAATAATAAGCGCTTTCTCTTTTAGAAAGCTGACCTGAAAATAAAATTCGCTTATGCTGTAACTCTCTGTGTCAGGAAATATAAACTATACTGATTCTGTTGCTCAGTAGTTCCCAACTGAATTAGTCATGGGGTCCAGATTTCTTCATTAGTTCAAGGTCCACACAGTTTAATATGTTCAGGGTCACACTTGTGTTTGGCCATGTCGTTGAGCCAGTCTGCTGTCTCTGTCAAGTATCTGTCTGTTTGTCACTCACTCTGCAGCAGGAAACTGCTCTTCAAAATCAAGTGTTTTTTACAAACCTGACATGTCTGCAAGTCAATTGTGGTCCATTCAGAATGGACCAGCGACCCATTGTTGGACCGTGACCCACCAGTTGGGAACCACTGCTGTAGGTATTGTGTATAAGCTTCCATTTTTCGGAGAAGAAAAAAAAATTTTTGGACACATAGGCTGAAACACAAAACAGCGTCTAGGCCTCAACTGTGTTGAGTGTTTGACATTTTAGGGCTGGTGTTGCTGGGAGTCGTGCTTTCAATGTTAATGGTGTGCTACTAAAAAGCGGCCTCACAGCAAGAGGGTTCCTGGTTCAAATCCCAGGTGGGGGAGCCCTGTGGAGTTTGCATGCTCTCGTTGTGTCAGTATTAAAGTTGTCTCCAGGTACTCCAGCTTCCTCCCACAGTCCAAAGACATGCAGGTTAACTGGTGACTCTAAATTGTCCGTAGGTGTGAATGTGAGTGTGAATGGTTGTTTGTCTGTCTGTCTGTCTGTCTGGTGACCTGTCCAGGGTGTACTCTATCTTGCCTAATGTCAGCTGGGATAGGCTCCAGCCCCTATGACCCCTAACAGGAAAAGCGGTTACCGAAAATGAACGAATGAATGAATGACTTGAGCACATCATGACCCTGTGAACAAAGTGTTGTTTTGCCCTTTTCAACAGCCCATATAGTGCTGGTTATGCATCATCAGCGATTTAAAATCGATTAAAGACAGGTACGCATGATATATAGTCCACAAAAAAGCATAATGAAACCCCGAGTCAAGGCAAACTACTTCACCAAGTTACAAAAGTTAAAAAGCCTTTATAAATTCTATCAAAAACACTTTATAAATCCCTCAAAGGGCTATTTGAGGCAAGCAAGTTTGCAAACAGAAGTCAAATAGACAATCTACAATGGTAAATAGACTTCTTCTTCGTCTTCTGACTGGTCAAATTGTTCTTTCACAATTTCACACGTTACATTCACCTCTTCACACTCACACACCCCTTCATACACTGTTGTCCGAAGCTGCCATATAAAGTGCCACTTGCTACTCAGTTTAAAAATTCACACATTCAGCCATCTGAAGCAGGTTTTTAGTATCTCACACAACGATACTTTCACATGCAGACTGGAGGATGACTAGTGGACTACCTGCTCTACCTCCTGAACCACAGCCGCTTGTGTGTGTGGTTGATATTCATTGGTCTTAAGTAGGGCTGCAACTAACGATTATTTTCATTGTCAACTAATCTGTCAATTATTTCTTCGATTAGTCGACTAATCATTTCATCGAAAAATGTGTTAAAATGTTGAAAAATGTCGGTCTGTCTCGCCCAAACCCCAAAATTACGTCATCTAATGTCTTGTTTCATACTCACGCCAAAGGGTTTTAGTTCACTGTCACGGGAGAGTGTGTAAAGCTGACAATATCTGAAAGTAAGAAGCTGCAATAAGAGTATTTTGGGGTACTTTTATAGTGCTTTTCTATGAAAAATGACTCAAACCGATTAGTCGACTACTAAAATAGTCACCGATTATTTTAATAGTTGATTAGTCATCGATTAGTCAACTAATCGTGGCAGCCCTAGTCTTAAGCCATGAAAGGCTTTTTAACTTTTGTACGTTGACGTTTTGGGGGCTTCAATCCTTTTTTGCTTGGACACAATCTACCAACATCATTGTCAGTTGGAGCCTTAAACTGGTCTACTGAAAACACAGCTCAAAACAAACACCAGTGATTTCTATAGTAACAGATACATTTCAGGGGAGGTGTGTGTGTGTGTGTGAGGGAGAGAGGGAGAAAGTGTGTGTTTTACCAGGATGTGTCCTCCGTTGTCTCCAGGTTGTCTGGCCAGACTGACTCCCAGCCACTGGTGATCACTCTCTGCATCACACGTCTTCCCACAGGTCACCACGTCTGCACACAAACACACACACACCTTAACTCAACAGTTTCACACCTGCAGCCTTCACAGGTAATTGAGTGGTGTTTGACTGTTAAAGGCCACAGCTGAGCAGCTGATAGCATCAACATGGCAGGCAGCTGAGTCAAATGTCTGTGTGTATGGTGAGGAAGCAAAGTATGATCCAGGAAGTCTAGTCTATGTAATATATTTATGAGTTTGTATTGTATGATAGGTAATGCTTTAGATGACGCTCTTCTATCTCACGAGGAACTAGTTAACACACCAGCATGCAAGGGGAGGCAGTGGCCGGGCTGAGCCGAGATGTTGCAGCGGTAAACAGCTCCTGGAGATCGGACTGATGGACTGGAGGTCGAGTTCGCGACTGGAGCTCCAACCACCAACCTAAAGAGAAAGAGAGACACAGAGAGAGACAGTTAGACAGGATCTGTCTTTGTGTCTGCTCAGTGTCTGAATGGCATCTGTGTGTGAAGCATCAAAGAGCGTCTCTCATTGACAAGAGCAGGCTAATTAGCATGCACACACAAACACACGCAGACACAGTCCTACTGTGAAGACAGCAGCTAATAGAGCATCATTAAGATAATTAAACTAATCTGAATTTACTGTTCTCTGGCAGATCAACAGAGGATCAATAGAGGATTACCAAAAAGACAGTAAAAAATCAGAATAGGTTTAAGGTTGATACCAGCTGTGTGCTCCGTGGTGATGTAGCAGGACTGAATATCCAAACATGGATGAGTGGGGGCCATTGAACTCCAGACTGTGTTCTTGATCCAGATTGTACCCTGCTGCAGGATGGACCAGGACCAGGACAAGGATCAGGCTGCAGCACATACACATGCTGCCCGCTGGGGGATACATGATGGAGGACAGACTGCAGGGACACAAGAGAGACACCAATCAATAATTGATACACCAATGATCAGAAGAAAGATGGTTTTTTTCTGTCTCCATCTTTAAAAACTCATGTGGTCGATGTCTCTATTCTTCAAACTCACAGAACTCTATTTAAAATTCTTGTAGAGCTCTTGTGCCCAGTTCAGACCAAAGACGGGCTGGAGCACCTGTCGCAGCAAGCGAATGCACCATCTGTGGTTATTTTGACTTTGACAACAAGCTGATTTGCTGTTGAAACAGGTGACCTGCTTTAGCCACTGGTGATTTGACCAGCTGAGTTGCAAGTGACACCATCAGCCAGCTTGAGTCGAGCTCAGACGGCCAGTTCACACTGCTGCAAGTTTTCTGTGCAACGTTCTAAAATGGTTTCATCTCGTCATGAGTCTTTAGTCTGAACTGGGCTTTAAAGTTTCCAAAGATACCAGTTTCATGTCGGACTCTTAGTGTTGACATCATATAGCTTTAGCTACAGCAGCAGATGGTTAGCTTAGCTTAGCATAAACAGGGTGTCAGCAGGTATCAGACACATCATGCTTTTTAAGACCTTTTCAAGATAAAATTTTAGCAAATTTAAGAGGGATTTTTGGACAAATTATCATTTTCCTGTTAAAACATTGCAGGTAGACCACTCCTGAGCAGAGGAGGTTTTATGGTAGTAATATGGTTATTAGAGTGAGTTTGGTTAGCCTACATTTAGCCAACAGGTAAGTGCAAACACAAAGTAAAAAGACAGTACTAGGTTCAGTGATTGGTTTAAACCAGTGGTTCCCAACTGGTCCAGCAACGGGGTCCAGATTTCTCCTTAGTCATTAGTTCAAGGTCCACACAGTTTAATACATTCAGCCTCATACTAGCCTAGCTAGGGAGACTTAAGTCTACTGTTGCCACACATTCTCACTCCGATCTCGTCACGTGCGGTCATAGACTTTCTACGTCCAGATACGACATGAAAGGTACCCTGGATGTGTTGGTTGTTGACGTTCTGGACGCCGTGTCAAGTTCTGCCTGTTACATGCATTGTCTTCTTTCAAGATACACTTCTGTTTTCACAGGAAATTTACCGTTTACATACAGTCTCTTTCAAAATAAAAGCACTACATTGGTAAAACACTGTGAATTTATGTTTTTTTTTTCCTTCAACAACAAAAGCACGTGGTTGGGTTTAGGAAAAAAGAACAGGGTTTGGCTTTATAATCTCACGGGACATGAACAGGTCCTGATTGTTGGACCAATCTAGCCTTTTTTCAGCAGTGTTTGACGCCACAACTCACTGCCCAGGTGCCAGTTTTGGATGACTTCGGAGTGAGACTTGATTGACTGTAGCCATTGCTTGTTATGTTTTAAGAGGAAAAGGCACCAGGCCATGAACGCATGACGCACATTTTAGTCGACGAAATGTTAAAACATTATTTAAATCGGTATATATAGGCACATTTTTACAGTTGAAGAATGTAAGAATCAATTTAGACCTACATCAATGAATGAAAATTAAAATGTTAAAAGAAAAGGGTTATTCATTTCCATATAATTTTCCTGTCAAAGCCTCAGGGAGCCCCTGGAGGGCGGCTAAAAGGCTGAATGCAGCTCTGGAGCCACAGGTTGCCTAGCCCTGAGTTAGGCTAATGCTCGTTCATTCATTCATTTATTCATCCATTTTCCGTAACTGGCCCCTGTTTGGGCTATCCCTGCTGACATTGGGCGAGAGGCAGGGTATACCCTGGACAGGTCACCAGACTATCACAGGGCTGACACATAGAAACAGACAACCATTCACACATTAACCTGCATGTCTCTGGACTGTGGGAGGAAGCCGGAGTACCTGCAGGAAACCCACGCTGACACAGGGAGAACATGCAAACTCCGCACAGAAGGGCTCCCCCACCCCAACCAGGAACTCTCTTGCTGTGAGGCAACAATGCTAACCACTGTACCACTATGTCGCCCTGCAGCTAATGTTCAGCTACATATTTATGGACAGGCAGTAGGTCAGCTATCAGTTTTCTAATCTCTGTGAGCAACAGTAGGCTACAGCTTAAAATATGTTTAACTGATCTAGACATTTAGACACATTAGTCTAATTCTTAACTTGCAACTAATCCATCTAACTAATACTACAGATTAAATCAAATGTATGAATATCTCACTCTTTGACATGAAATCAGACCAAATCAGTGGGCAGAACAAACTTTGCTGAGGTCCCTCAAACTTCTTGGTTCAGTCCTGACAACTGAACTCTTCTTAACATTATTTCTAGTTCATAAAAATTTATTAAGGCATATCAGGACTTGAAAATTAAGCATTTTTACATTGTGGTACTGTTTGTGAAGTGAAGGATTTGGGGGCATTTGTCAGCTCTGGACAAAAGCAGGACTTCAAACTAACTACTCTTACTATCATCACTTTATTTTCGGATTAATTGCGATTAATAAATGTTAATAAATGTCTTTAAAATGTCTTTTTAAAAACACTAAATATCTACAAACTTATTTTTCAGTCTGACCGACAGCTCATGAATTAAACATTTAGTTTAATAAGCTGCAAACAATCGTTTGATGACTGAAAACTTTTCTTCATTGACTCTGCCAGTCATTCATTTTATCTCCATCCATCAGTTTATTAACCGAATAACGGTCAATCTAACTGTGTCACTGTACCGTTATCCCGGGTCAGCCAGCAGATATCCCGGGTCAGACTGCGGGTCCAGTCGGCACCGGCCAGATGTTGAATCAAAGTCCCAAAAATCTCCGTTAAATCCGTCTTCTCCCGGCGTGACTCACTGGAGGAAACCTCCTGTTGCTCCTCGGTCCGTTAACCGTCTCGTGCGTGAAACCACCGGCTGTCCGCGCGCTCGAGGACGCAGCGCACGAGGCTCTGGGACCGTGTGACACACTGAAGAAGAAGAGCTGAGTGAAAGAGGCTGAAGAGAAAACCCAGAAAGTTTCATCTGAGTTTCAGAAGAAGTCAATGAAACTGAGAAGTGAGCGCGTGGAGGCCCTCCCTCCCTCCCTGTGTCTGTGTTAGTGTGTGTGTAACGGTGTTTCTTCTCCACCCCCGCAGTGTCCGCCTAAACTGAGAGCGCGAGGATGTGCACGCGGCTCTGTGTGTGTGTTTTGAGTGTGTGTTTGGGGTGTTTCCTCTTCAGTTATCACTACAGTGTGAATGGAGTCAGTGGGGCTGTAATCTGATTTAAGAGGCTGAAACACACAAACACTCACATACTGTATACAGCGGAAAAACAAGTAAACATAAACAATCGGTCGGACTCTGCTGGTCAGAGCTTGTACAGATGTTACAGATGTGACAGTGGACCACAGAGGTGAAAATACCCACTCAAACTTAAGTAGGACTACAATTTTGAGGTACTTTACTTATGAATTTCCATTTTTGCAATGTTAGACTTCTATTACACATTTCAGAGGAAAATATTACACCACATTTATTTAGCTAATAACTTTAGTTACATTATTCAGTAGTATAATTATGCAATCTTTGATTTTATCCTTTTCTGTTTATGCGCGATTGTGGTTATTTAATAGGAGAGGTATCTTCATTAAATACTTCATTTGGCTTCTAAATAAACTAAACTAAAAAAAACTGCATTATGTGTATTATTAGGTTAACATAAGACTTTATTAATACCTGGAGAATTCACAAGCTTCCCAGCAGCATATAAAATCAGCCCTACCTTTACCAGCTACAACATTAAAGTGGTTTGTGTAAAAATAAATTCTTGAATCACTTTGCCAATAAACATTTAATGAGTGATCGTTGGTTGTCAATTGTTATTTAATATTCATAAATAAAAACAAACATTTATGTCGTGATAAGAGTGATAACACATCTTATAGAGGCTGTTGTGCACAGTTATAAATACAGGTGTGCCTTGAGATTGTTTGCTCTTTGGTGTGCCTATTAATATAGAAATTCAATAGAAAAAATATCAGAGTATTTCTAAACTGTGGTTTTGCTACTTCTACCAAAACGATATTAGTAAAAATATATAAAATGCATAAATACGTAACTCTTTTTTAAAGCAGGGGTGTGGAACACAAGGTCTGTGGGCCAGAACCGGACCAACAAAGGGTCCAGTGTGGCCCATTAAATGACTTTACACACCTAATATTAATGCACTTGCTTGACTTTAAGTCAGCAGTGGAGGTAGTAACAGCTAGTACTGAATTAATGTCCGTGTAAAAGGGACAGCCAGTCAACCCGGTCTCGCTCTGAAGTCATTGAAATCTAGTGCTTGAGCAGTGACTTGCGGCGTCAGACACTGACGAACAAAGCCGTCCTTTAAAGCCGACATGATACACAGCCGGTTGCTCTCATATTTTAACAGCAACCAGCAGCGTCAGGGCGAAATGCAGCGGGACAATAACAAAAGTTAAGGCGACAAAAGTCTGAATATAGCAGGTGGGTGGGGTGGCACATGGGTCCAAGAAACACAGACTTTCACCCAGGAGAATGGTGTTCACATCCTGTATGAATGTAAAGCCAAACCCTGTTCTTTTTTCCTAAACCCAACCATGAGTGTTAGTTGTGTTGAGCCAGCAGGACTATATGGTTGTGACTATATGGTTGACGACATGTCACGTGTGCCTAAAAGCAGCAAGAAGCAGTTAGCAGCTAACTCACAGCAGATGAAAATGTCAGGAGAAGTATCTCTGGGAAAAAAGGGCTGGTGAGTAGCCTTCGTCATGCAAAACACTTCTTCAGATGCTTTTCCACCCTGACCAGAACAGTTTTCTGGAAAAACAATGACTGCGATGAGATTTAAAGATACTGAACATGTGCAAAACATTGTCAATCAGCAGCTTCAGAACAAATAAATCTGTTTCAGACTTCTATCTTAAAACAATATTGGTGGAACCCTGCTGCTAAGGCTGCCAAGACCTTTAATTTGTTAAATGGTTTATAAGGCAGGGAATAACTTAAACTGCCTCCTCAATAGTTTCCACGTTTGGTGTGGTGTGGTGATGCCAGAGTTTCTGCACAGGAGTGGAAACGTGTGGAAAAATGTACATGTGATGACAGTGAGTAGTGGACTGACCGAAGGTGGAAAAACTGAGACGTGTTGTTGAAATTGCACTTATTTTTTCCCAAGACATCTCAGGCTGCTTTGTAAATGAATGAACGTTTTCAGAATGGACTTCTTTACACTAAATGAAAGGGAAAACTTGAAGGTGTTTTTATTTATACGTTATTATGCAATGGTTTAACTGGTCCTGCCCAGTTGGGATCAAATGGGCTGTATGTGACCCATGAACTGAATGTAGTAGTAAAAGACCTCTGTTTTAAAGAGTATTTAAAGTTTAAGATTTAAAGAAGTTTAGGAGTATAATTCCAGTATTGGGAGTGTAACCACTGCGTGACGTCACAGCTGTCATGTGGTCTGTAATCCTGCTCAGATGGAGTGACACTTCTAACACTATAACATGTAATTAGGTCGGTCTTCAGACCAACACTGCCTGAAACAGTGGGGGTTCTGATGCAGAGGGCTGTGGCAAAAAAACCCGAACTTATTATCATTATATCTCTCATTCATTCTCCCCCTGTAAAGGCCTTTCAAGAGTTTTAACCCTTCTGAATTGCCATGGGAATAGATTTTTGGGGGAGACATGTCCTCCTCAATATTTAGAACATGTGCAATGAATACATGAAAGTAGCAGAGGACTTTTATTCTGATGAAATTGAAGATATTTACACCTGAAATTGATGCAGAAAAACTTGTTTTAGACAATGGAGGAAGATGATGCGAGTGGTGTGTTCAGAAATATTCATTCTAAGTGCTGGACCATTCGTAAATTCGGAGCAGCAGAGCACTGAGCAGAGTGAATGTGTGATTAACTTAACCGTTTGTTAATTCATACAGAGATATAAAGCTCCATTTCTTCTACCAACAGGGCTCTCATTTTAGTGTAGTGCACCAGACTGAATTTATGAACGCACCATGTCAGGTCGCTCACTCTCCGGGACTGCAAGTGTTACTTGAATAAGAAAACACTGACCAATGGGACCAGACTGGCCGACCCGTATGCTCTCACTCAATGGATGGATGATGTCACAGGAAGCCAATCTTACAAAGGAGAATGACACTTGAACGGTTTCCTCCAGTTTGTTTTGCTATAGAAGCTAAAGTTAGCTAATGCGCTAAAAAGTTTGCGTCACAGAGAAATCCAATATTCCTCTTAATCCCTCCCCAGTTTCTGATGAGGTGGACATGATAACCCTTAATACACATAACGTTATTCATCCCTACAACAGGAAATACTTTTTCCCTAACCTGATATGAAGTGTGCGCTGCACATGTGAGCATTTCTGATGATCGCCTCCGTCCAGTCCTTTGGCCTTATCACATTTAACCATAGTTGTCTTTGAGTTTGTTGACGGGCAGTAGCGGCTGGTTTTGATAAAATGTAAGTTTTGAGCCATGACTCCTTCTACTCTGGCTCCCAATAACACAACAAGACGACATTTTAAGACTCCTGTGCAGCCTACAGCCCTGTGGTGGAGAGGCAGGTTTTGCCTCCAGCTAATAAAATGGCGTCATCCTGACGTCGGCCCTAAAAGGGTCTACATGGTTCAGCCTCCTGGAGCTGCTAGCATGGCTACTTTGTCTGTCAGCTTTTGAGAAAACAAGAAATTCCCAGTAATGCTGAGCAGTAAGAGGAGATATGATTATGGAATACCAGTAAAGATATACAGGCCAGCGATAAAGTGTGATACATCCTGCATCTATCATATCAGTCCTCCTGTGTAGGCAGTTCGTCAGCTGATCCCTCCAGCTGCTGCTTTGTGTAAATATTCACTGCGAATAAATTCTACAAACCAACGAGGCTGTTCTGTGTGATTCAGAGTTTTGTCATCCACTGTTGCTGGACTCAGGAAACAATGCCTTTATAGGTAGCTGAAGCAAAGAACAGCTGGCAACTGTGTTCTGTTGAAGTTCAAGAGAAGAATATTTGTCCTGAAATAGTCACTAAAGAACACAAACAGCTCTGTGATTCATTCCAGACCTTCAACCACCAGCCATCAATAAATAAATGAAGGGGACACAAGGAAAAGAAAGGAAGGAGAGCATTTTTTAAAATGTTCATACCTTTAATGTTTATTTGAAGTATCTGCAAATCTTTTCACATAAAGTCATCAGCACAAAAAAACAATGCATACACAGTCTCAGACAGAAAGACAGTGGTGGAGCAGACAGACTGTTTGGGGTGAATGGCGGACAGGAACTCAGAGCCACACGCATACGCATCCACTCAGTGTGTTTGTTGGTATTTCCTGTTAATGACCCTGCAGTTATTATGCTGGAATTTGACCAGCTACTGTTCCCACCCTCCCACACACTCTGAGGAGCCTTATGTGGCAAAGGAACCATGATCACCACTTAGTTAGCTAACAGAGTCTGAAGCAGTAGTATTTTTGCCATGGTTAACCTGAACTAACCAGAACAATGGTTTTAAAGGGGCAGTTCACCCCCAAATCAAATACTTATCTTTCCTCTTACCTGTAGTGCTGTTTATCAGTCTAGGTTGTTTTGGTGTGAATTGCAGAGTGTTGGAGATATCAGCTGTAGAGATGTCTGCCCTCTCTCCAGTATAATGGAACTAGATGGCACTCAGCTTGTGGTGCTCAAAGTGCCAAAAAATACATTTTAAAGATTTCAACAGCAATGTCTCTTTCCTGAAATCATGACCCAGTTACTCAAGATAATCCACAGACCTTGTTGTGAGCAGTTTCATGTAGGAACTGTTTTCTTTCTACCAAACTACACACGCCAACCACACAGAAGGAAGCATGCATCTACTCATGGACAAGAGGCTCGTGCTTGTGACAATCCTCTCAGTTGAGCTCTAACATTAGCTAGCTCAGTGGTGCTAGGTGAGCTGGCAGGAGATGTATGCTGTCTTCTGTGCAGTGATTAGATTGGTAGGTGTGGTTTGGAAGAAAAAAAAAAAGTTCCTCAATGACTTTGGCATCAGACATCGAC